CCCCCCCCCAAAAAAAAGATCTCAAAAAGAAAGAAAGAAACAGCAGCACCCACATCCTTATAATAAAAGCACTGCATCCAAGTGACCAAACTCAAAACGCTCAATATCTGCGGCTGCACTCTCAGCGCTATATTAAACTGGCGGCTTATATTATAAGCGCCTAGAGGGACCCCGGCACATGCCCAGAGCAACATCATGGACCTTTGGAGACCTGCTGTGCTGTGTCTTTTGTGGTTGAGGATTATTTGCGGGATGAGCTGTGCGAAGGGGGGGTTAGTTTGGAGGGGGGAGGGGAGAGGAGGAGGGAGGGAGAGACGCAACTTGAACGGACCAGCAGATGGCGCCGAGTGTGCCTAGCACATTGGTAGCGGCTGGGACGTCGGGGAGAGCCATGGTGATGGTGAGGTAAGAAGCGGTAACTAAATGCTTATATTATATCCTCCATGTCGTCGTTGTCGGGCGTGGAAAATCGATGGTAAAGGTATCTATCGGAGATGGGGGTTTGATGTAATTCTGGATTCACGTGACTTGATATTGATAGTAGTGTTTCCGGGTTGGGTTTGTGGTTGTAAGTATATATGTTTTGCTACTATGTTTATTATATGTGACCTATCTCATATAGTTGGATAAATCCATAGAGCGGAGTCCTTTGTGGCATGTCCTGTCCCAAAATAGACTTGAGCTGTATGTGGGAAATGCGGCTAAATGCGTCGCTGTAATTGGGAATTACTCCGCCTATAATTTACAAGATCCATCGTACAAGTTGATACATGCCCTCATATTTGCAGCCCGAGGTCTGCTCTTCTTCTGCTCTTCTTCAAGATCGTAGACGTCCCGCCCCCTATTTGGAGACCGTCTCTCGCAGAGGTCACCGGAAGCCAAAGAGAGACTGTATCTTATCCCCAATCCTCTCCTTGCCTTCCTCCTTCCTTTTCCTCCGCTCCTCCGCCTGCTTCTCATAAATCGACCCTAGGTGACCCGCAAGCTCCTCACTAGCCTGGATCTCTGCTTTGATTGCCATCTCTTCCAATTTGCGTTCTTCTCCCTCCAGTCCCTCCAGACGTTGCTTGGCCGAAGTTTGCATCGGTGCTGGAAGATCAGCAGGATTGAGCTCGGTATTGTCAGGTACCTTCACTGGTACAGGCTGGGCAGCCGGTTTCGCAACTTTGGTCTTGGAGGATGATATCAGTGGCGGGAATGTCGGGATGGGTCTGCCTTCCGCCTTCGCTTCTTCAATGAGCTTCTCTTGATCCAACATTCGGTGATATAGGGTATCGGCATGCATCTGGATCTGCTCGTCGACCTCGGCTGGTCGGTCAAAGGTTGATAGGTAGCCTAGAGCTTTCAAAAATTTCTATATCCGTCAGCACCATCCCCAAGATGCCGAAGGGGCAAGCTTAAGTGAGGCAACTTAGACGTACTGCCTGCATCGTATAACACCTATCCAACTTTTGGTTCTCGTCTCTGCACATAGTAAGGCGACTCTTTATGCTCCCCGATTGAAAACACTCGTTGACGTCCCATTGTTCCAGGGCGCAGTTCTCTAACGCCGCTCGCCCAATCTCCGCTTTCCTATAATTGTAGCCTTCGAGGATATCATTGATCTTTTCCTGATCCGACTTGCTCTCTGCATCGACTTGGGATTTGGATTGGTAGGTCTTCCATAGATGCGCATAGCGTCCGTCCGGGAAGAGACTCTCAGCGGGTGCCTTGGGCGCTGTGTCGTCGGACGAAGTGGGCTGAGATTGCGCGGTCTTGTTGTCTGAGGGGGTTGCTTGCTTCGGTTGAGGGGCGGCAGGAGGTGGTGATGCTTGGGGAGGATTTGAGGAGTTGTACTTGACAGGTGATTCCTTGGCAAGGAATTCTCGAAGGCTGGGATCCAGACTACGCAGAGGATCCTGCGACTTGTTGCTATCGTCGTCGTTGCTCGCGGAAGAGCCCCAGAACCAGCCCATTGCTTCAAGTGATTCTTGTGTGTAGTGGAGTATCTGCTTGACGTTTTTTTCCTGGGAGCTGGCCGACGAGGCTCGTCGTATCGTATTAGCGCAACCTTGCCTCGCTTGGCCAGAAGCTTTGTTGCCGCCTTACAGCCTTACAATTTCTAGGGAGTGCTCCAGATCACTACTTTCCAGGGACTTTGTAAGGCAGACCCTATAAATTCAAGGGACTCGATGGTCCAGGGGGCTCGAATTAAATACAGATATGACTTCAACCATGCGCCCTCAATTCTTCCATAAACACCGTTCCATATCAATCGTTATTTCCACATATATCCCCTACAAGGTCAACAAGACGCAAGGTCTTCTCGTCCTCATTATATCACAGGAGGCTGCGGGGGGCCAGCCTTCCCGTGGGTAGCCAGCCGCAGAGGTAGACAAGTCGACTACTTTCTCTTGCGTTTCTACCCGCATCTAACGACTCCTCACTCGCTGGACTCTCCCAGCATTGGGTCTCATATATATGTATGGAGTGATGCAAGAATACTCATTTAGAGCATGTTCTATTCATCTACTTCCCTCCCTTCACCTCATCCTCTCCTCGGATTGGATCATCTCCTTCAATGGCCCCTTGAAGCCCCTCCTCCCTCTTATCAACCAGTCAAGGCTAGCCAGGATGATCAGTCCTAGAAGGATTGGACCAGCGTAGTTCATGTTAGGAGCTGTAACCGGTATGGTTGTGGGGAATAGAGCAAAAACAGAAATAAAGATTCCGAATGTGGCCGCGTACAAATTCACAGGCAATCCCCAGCGTCCAAGGCGCCAGGATCCGAAAGGGATCGGCTCGTTTCGGAGGCGCTTTAGTATAAGGAGAGAGATAGGGATAATGTAGGAGATGACAATAGAGGTGGTGCTAATACCAAGGATGGCAGAAAGGGCTGTGCTGGAGCCAATGTTGATGAGGCTGAGTAGCGCAACCGTCATGCAGACGAGACCGATAGCACGGTAAGGAACATGGCGTTTGGGATCGATCTGAGAGTGGGACGAAGTCAGTGACAAATTGGCATGGGGAAGAAGGAATAAGCGTCTCACATGAGCGAAAAATGAGCTGAGTGGGAGGCCCCCATCTCTCGCGAAAGCCCAGGTAAGACGGGATACCGATGCCACGACTCCCATACTGCCAGCAACTCCAACAATGATGATCGAAATTAGCATGAGAGTTGCAGCTTTCTTCGATCCCGTTGCCTGGTAGAAGACCTCAATGATGGGATAGCCGGTTGAGGTTGACAACGCCTGGTCGATGTTTCCGATGGTGAAGAGGATGACGATAGCAAAGATGAATGCGAGGCTACCATTGATTAAAATGGTCTGCACGAGCATCTTGGGAATAACGATGGATGAATTCCGGACCTCTTCGCTCATGTGGACAGCTCCATCGAACCCTGCCAAGGAGAAGAGTAAGTGATGGGTTTCCCTGGTCTTCGAACCAGAATCTTACCCATGAAGCAAAATGTGACGGTGATCAGCCCGACACACCACGAGACGCCATCACTCTTCCACCCAGCCTCATTTAGGAACGCCGTGAAGACGAAATCCGCCGTACTCCGTGGTGCCAGCAACACGAGAGGGACGATGAGAACAAGGAAGAAGATGACGTGGCAGAGACCGCCCACCACCTGGATCGTGGGTAGAAACCTGATCCCATAAACGTTGACTGTGAAGGTCAACACGCATACTGCCTGGATGTTTGTTAGTCCTTCTAAATCGGGTGCACTGGAGGAAATGCAAAGGAGGGGGAAATTACCCAGGCAAGAAGTGTCCCATGCCAGCGTTTGGGAGTATAACTGGAATCGTTGAGGATGACGAGACCTTGAATCTGGGTCGCAACCACGAAACAGATACTGGTGCAGGCGGCTTGCCAAGCAAAAACCGTAATCCATCCTATTTCAACGACGTTCCATTAGCACATTCCAGTCTTCGCGGTCCGAGTATCCGCTGTCTCACCTTGCATCCAGGTCATGAAGTTCCGTATTCGTGGCGGGGCAAATAGGGCGGTCCACTTGAAGACGGTTGAGTTAGCCATTGCTTGACCCGGGCAAGTCGTTCAAGGGTATAACATCTTGGTCTCCGGGTATGCATACGTGGTACTGTGCTCCCGAGATGGGGCATATCGAGGCCATCTCGGCCAAGGAAAGGGCCAGACACATGACGCCGGACAGCGAAAGGACCATTCCCCAGATCAGTGACGAGGGGCCTCCGTTCTGTAAGCCCAGTCCGAGACTATTCGCAACACCCTCCCAGGACGACAAGAGGGTAATCGACATGCCGAGGATGGACAGCGACGCAAAATTTCTCTACGGCACGCACGGGTTAACATCTATCTGACATGATGGCGGCGGAGGGGTTCAATCCTTACACGCAATTCCTGGGTGGCTCCCATCCTATTCATGACGGCTTCGTCGGCCAGGAAAGGAGGGGAGTCGGTGCGCCCGCGCACGCTCGATCCGCGCACCGAATCGACTGACTTGACGTCGACGGGGCCCATTTCGAAGGAATTTGACATGATCGAGGAGGGGGGAGGATGTATTCTCCGCCCTACGGTGGAGGAGGAGGAGAGAGAAGGGTATGGGAGATGGGGGGATTCTATATGAGGTCGAGCACCACTAATTCGGGACGGTTTAATAATCTTTTACTATAGACGGGCATTGGGCACACGACCAGGTGTGAAAGAGGTAGAAAAGGCTTGCATGGTGATGGCGGAGTGAGATGATGGTAGTTGATGGTTGAGATGATAGTGATAGTGGTGAAGCTGTTGACGATGACGGTCGAGGGTGGTGATGGAGATTGGAGATTGGAGATTGGAGATTGGAGATTGGAGATGGTGGTGATGCTGATACGACGAGGCCCGGGTGATACGAACTGGGGTTTGCGGCTGGAGGCTGGAGCAGAGCGATTAGACATTTCCCCGTCACTGGGCCGGCCGATTGCGAGACACGAGGGTTCGATGGTTGTGTGGCTTGTGGCTTGGGCGGGGAGGAGTGCTGATTGGACCGGCAAGCGAGAAATAGCCGACGGGGCCCGCGATGACGGGCGCTTGCCAAGAGAAGCGAATGGAGCGAATCAAGCGAATCAAGCGAATCAAGCGATACGGCGGAAGCAGCGATGCGGGAATGCCCTCCTTCCCAATCGGGCCGGTCTGAGCAAAAGCTCTTCCACCAGTAAATTCCCCGGAAAAAGTCTGTGGCTTCTGTGCGTAGCGAGCAGAAATTATACCGTATACTGTAATCAGTAGGTATCCCCAAGCTCCATCATTCTCTTATCAGCGCACCAACGCACCTCTTGACCTGCACCTGAACCTGAACCCTTGACTTGACCTCCGCCTTCTTCTCCCCTCCGCCTCCTCCTCTGCCTCCTCCTGCACTTCCACTTCCACCTCCTCCTCCACCTCCAATACTTCTCATACCTCTCATACCGACATTCCCTCCCAAATGCCTTCATCCTCTTCCTCCTTTTGAGGGCTCTGCCCCTCCAGAGCCATGCAGACAGACGCCGTGCACGCCTAGTCCCGTCTCCGACTCCCGCGTTCACATACGTATGTACCGACCCGCTCTTCTTGGCTCTCGAGCGCCGCCCCGACCATGGCCGGAACCCTCCCTCCATTGTTCTCCATCACCGACGACGACCACGCCGGATATGTTGCCGTCGCCGACTACACCTTCCTGCTGTTGATGGTGTTCCTCGTCGCTACGCGCATCTTCACCCGCTGGTATATCGTGCGGTATATCAAGGCCGACGATGCCTTGCTTTTCGTGGCTGCGGTATGGACGAGAACAAGCTTCCCCAGGCCTTGAAGTCGACCTGGCTAACGAAGATATCAACTACAGCTCGTCGGCATAGCGCAGAGCATTATTGTCCAATTTGCAATAAACCATGGGCTCGGCCGGAGGGGACATACCCTATCGCATCACGACTTCGTTTTGTTCCAGAAGGTAGCTGCCCGCCAATATCAGACTCATGAGTCTTCAGAAGCCTGACACCTCTTCTAGTACGAATATGCGGCACAGATACTTCTCGTCGTCTGCATAGCACTCGCAAAGCTGTCTCTATCCGCCCTCATCCACAGTCTGGTAACCGAGAAATATACCCTGTATGCAAGTCGAAGTCTGCTGGCAATTGTCATGGCGTGGGCCTTTGCATCAATCCTGGCATTGGCATTTCAGTGCCCACTGCCATCTCCTTGGAGAGATGCTCCGCACTGTGTCGATCAGGTGGGCGAACATCATATTCCGGGCGGAAAACTCCCAATACTTATATCTACCTATCTAGGCTGCTCTTCACTACGCAATTGGTGCCCTTAATATTGCCACCGATGTGGCTCTCACAATACTCCCCTGCGTGGCATTTTGGAGAGTGCCTGACCGAAAGAGGCGTTTCCAGGTCGTGTCCTTGTTCTCAATAAGAATATGGTATGACGAACCTCTCCACACCACGTGGATCTCGCGCTTACAAGACACAGTGCCATTGTGGTAACGGCAATGCAGCTTTCTCACGTTGGCCCATTATTTAAGAAGGGCGCCGACAAGACATGTAAGTCCATAGACCCGCAATCTGGACTCCTCTGTTTGCCCTCTGACTCTTTTTAGGGGAAAGCATCAATACTTCCATATGGGACCAGTAAGTTCAACCGTCCTCAATTTTTTTTTTTGATACGGCACTCATAAATATCCAGAGTCATGATGAATGTCAGCATCTTTTGCACCGCTATTCCTTCCCTTGGTCGCCTCATTGTGGACCTCCAACCCGAGATCAATGCCTTCGCCATCACCGAGCGACATGGGTCGAGTAATAAGACAGGTGATCAATACGCCCTCCCGAGCGTCCTTGGCCACCGCTTCAAACTGAGCAACCGTGGCGTTCACATGTCGGTACTAGGAAGGCCTATAAGTCGCGACGAAACTGAAAGTATGCAGGGGCTAAGGGAGGACGGATTAAGACAAGACGGAATTCAGCAGACGGTTGGATTCGAGGTCAAATATTCCCCGGTTCCCTGGGCACGCTGAATAATGGAAGAAGCAATCGAATTGCTATGATCATCAACATCCAAGAGCGAACGAGGCCTCGCTCTAAAGGAGAGCCAAAAACCCCGAGGGCAGCAGACGTCGCAAGGTTCCAACACATATCGGGAGATTTCAACTACTGCCCCACGGCTAGGGTATCCTTCCGCGGAGCAAGACTATGGGAAGGAAGCACGACTCAGGCGGATTTACGCATCCGAAACCAAGGAGCGAAAGAGAGCTGGATAGAGTTTGCTTGCCTGCATCCACATTCCATCTCTATCTCGAGTCTGGCCAATCCCGAAGGCGGTAATAAGAAGCGAAAGGTTGGGAACCGGACCGTGATCATCGGAGGCGATCAGTGGCCCTGCATGATGCGATATGCATCTGCATGTTTATCCCTATGCAGATTCCAGTACTTATTGGTCGGGGTTCTTACCGCATTCCAAATATCGGTGCCGGCCGCCGCGCTCCCGCTGTTCCGATCGCTTAACAGATCGGATTCGGAAAGTCGGGGGAAGATCACTTGCTAGATGCGAGAGATACAAAGATGGAGGGAATGATTGCCTACGGGGATGCTCTGATAGTAGGGAATATTAATTATAGGAAAGAGGGGCGAGGAAAATACAAGGATGAGGCTGATCCGGGAGCGAGCCAGTTCTGCTCGGCTCTTCCCTAGAGCTCCGAAGATCTGGGTGAGAAGAGGAAGTTCATCGAAAGCGCCATCTCTTTTTATATTTTCAAGAGACATTTCTGACCATCTTGATATGGATATAATGTTTCTTATCCCATCTTTACATCTCGGATGGAAGTTCAGTTCTAGCATGGGGTGGATGGCGCCTGATATCCAGGTGCGCACGTGATCGGGGTAATAATAGGGGGAAGGAGGACTAAGAGCCACTGGAAGACTATAAAGTTAATTAGTCAGGCTTCATAGTTTAATTCATAAATAAATATAAGATATAATCAACCACCAGTGCACAAGACAATAACGACGACGAACCTCTACGACCCGCTAAACCCCACCGTAACCGTGTGCGTACCGCCCTCGATCTGCAAACTCACGTACCCCTCCCCCTCCTCATCCCTATAACTCGCATCAAACCCTAGCTGCTCGCCCCCCCGCCACGCAATGCGGCCATCTACATACACATCCGCACTCGCATTCTCAACCGGCACGTTCACCTCCGCCTTACTATTCGTTGGAGCCTCGAACCAGAGGTAAAAAAAGCCCAACTCAGCGCTGCGGTTCCAAGTTACTGAGATATTGCCATTCGGGGTGGGGACGCGACCTCGCGCCCAGGCCAGATCTGCGGGTTGCGGGGAAAGAAGGAAGGAGAGGAAGCCCGGGGAGGTGGGGACGAGGCCCAGGATGTAGGTACTGCAGAGGGGCACGATGCCGGTGGACCAGGCGTGGGCGAGGGAGGTGAAGGCGCCTTCGTAGGGGAGGCCCGAGGGGCCGATGGCTTCCCAGAGGGTGATTCCTGGGTCGTGAGAGGACATCCAGGAATGGAGAAGGCGGAGCTCGGTGAGGGCGGAGAGGGAGAGGTGGGCGTGGAAGCGAGCGGAGATCTCGAAGTAGGATGTGAATGCGTAGACGCGTTGGGAGAAGGAGGAGCCGAGTAGGTCGTTGTCGTAGAAGGCGTGGCCGTAGGGGAGGCTCATCGAGGTGTCCATGTAAGAGAGGATGGAATGGGCGCGCGTGCTGTTGGCGACGCCGCTGAGGATGGCGAGGGAGTTGCCATCTTGGGCGTGAGTGGCGCAGGGGGAGGAGCCGCAGCTGCCGTCGTAGAAGGCGCCGGCGCTGGGGTCGAAGAGGAGGGCGTTGATGGCGGAGGAGACGTTCTGGGCGCGCGCAGTCCAGCGGCTGGCGTCGGAGGCGTGGCCGAGGTAGGTGGCGATGAAGGCGGCGTTGTTGAGGGCTAGGACGTAGAGGGCATTGAAGTAGGTCACGGCCCCCGTGCGTGGTAGGAAGGCATAGTCGCCGTAGCTGCCGGACACGCCGAAGCCTTTGGTGATGAGCTGGGTTGCGGGGCTGGTGACGGAGGGGTAGAAGTTGTCGAGGGTGTTGACCATGGTTTGGTAGTAGGTGTCAAAGAAGCCCGTGTCACCAGTATACATGAGGAGGTCGTAGCTGTTTGCTACCCACCAGAGAGGGTAATCAAGGAGTGCTAGACTGTAGTTGTTACTGCATGGTCGTCAGTAGATGTACTCTAAGGAGAATGGCTCCCGTGATTGATTGACTGACATGCTTGCTGGTGGGATCCACCCGTCCGCTCTCTGGTGATCTGCCAAATCAGCGAGGACGTTGCGAGCTGCTTGAGGAACGTCACGGGTTAGGTAGGACGTGCGAGCTGCTACAGCAAGATCACCGCTATAAGGGAGACGATCTCGTTTCGCACCATCGAGCAGTACCAATTTCCCGAGCACTCCAGGACTGGCAGCATTTCGCGGATCGGTGGAGTTGGCATCGAGAATATCGGTACACAAGTCCGTCGTGTAAACCGCATCATAATACCACTGATTAAGCTGCTCATCGGAGCTCTCGAACCACCCCGTGAAGGTGTCCGGCGTGCCCAGAAATGCCGTGTAGTTCACACTCAAGGAGTCGATGGCCACTTGGCCATATGAAGTGGTGTGGGGGGCATCGGCCGGAAGGGCGTCCAGGTAGATCTTCAGGTAGCGGAAGCCGTGGATTCCATCGGCGCAGACTTGAGTACCATACTCGCAGCCGTGGGTGTCAGTCCAGGTATACGGCTCGGGCTGGACAGCAATCTATGGACATGACGTGGTCAGCCCAGAGCCCCTTTTGATGTACAGTAGGTAGGTAGTTGGGGTTCTGGTAAGACGAGATCAAAGCTCACCTGATCGCTCCCTGGAGTGATAGTATCTCCCTGATGAGGACATTAGTGACCGTCGGCAGCACAACAGTAAACACAGAACAGATATGGAACTTGCATTGTCTGAGCGCGAGAAATCGCTGAAGTTGGTGAGGTACCCATACTGGATTGATTCCGAGAAAGCCAACCTGATACCCGGCAGCCCAGGCGTGCTATTCGAAGCACCGGCGAACCTGATCGAGAGGTAACCCGCGATATTCTGGCCAAAGTCGACCACGATCACAGGCGTGACGTCTGGTGCAGCAGAGCCAGACGTCGCCGGCTGGCGCGTCAAGATGGTTGGCTCGCCGCCCGGAGTCAAAAGGCCATTGGGATTGGTGACGTTGCCTTGGGTGTAGTAGCCCAAGGTTTCATTCGACACGAAGCTGACGGGGAGGATGGTGGTGGAGGACGGCGCGCGCACGTATTTCTGCCAATCTTCTTGGATACTGCCCAGCTGGCTCTGCCATTGATAGGCGGGCGAGTCTTGGGGGGCTGGCGCTGCAGCCGTCAGGTCGATGGCATTGAAGAAGAGAGGGAGGAGAAATGGTGGGGAGAGAGGGAGGGCGCGAGGCCACATGGCTGCGGCTGCTGCTGTTGAGGCGGAGTTACGGATCACATATAAGAATTAAAGATATAGATTATACCTATGTAATGTACAATCCCTCAGAAGGGTAACATCAAGACATTGATATCTGGAGGTTTTATTCTAGACAATACAGGAACAGAATGATACTGTTCTGTTTATATACCGCAGCTCGTTGGCACGGTGCGGTACTCCGTAGCAAAGCCCACGCGCCACTGCGCCGTACCTGATTGTGCCTTATCGTACCTGATTAAGTCACGAGACCCTATAATACCTTATTATACTTCATTATACCTCCTAACCTAAAGTTCCTAACCGGCCGGCTGGCGAGTCAGATGCCCGTGGGACCTGAGACTAGACAATAAGTGAGACTTTTGTCATGACTTAAGAGGTTGAATAATGTTTAGCTAGAACTAACTAGGTACTTATAGGCTTATAACCTACCTACCTAGGTAATAAAAGTAAAAAGTTTTAGCAGAGAACTTATATATGTTAAGTTGTTGTCAGGTAGACGATTCAGCTGGAGAACGATTCTCTATTGGATAAGTGACTTAACTTGGGGGACAATGAGGGGTGTGGGGTGAGATTGGGGTATATACAGGCTCGCTGAGTGACAACCCCCGCTCCTGCCCTTCCCCCGTGCCTTGACAGTTGTCTAGATTTCAAGTGGGCTGCTATTAAGAAAGTTTTTTGGAGGAAAAGTCTGTCCTCTAGTAGCGATATGGGAGGTACAGGGTGCGGTTCAGGGTCTACCTACGACATCTACGGTACTGGGACTCGCTCATTCAGGGCTCAGAGTTACCTGAACCTGGACATCCGATGCATGGCTGCCACTGGCCCCTCACAGGCAGCCCAGCCGCAGCCATGTCGTCTGCAGTGCATACATACCTAAGGTAGGTACTCCAACGTTGTGCACCTGTAATAGTGTGATTGACCAGATTCGGGCAGGCATAGGCTGACAACTGGAATTCAGGGAAGAGGTTAATCGACGTTGAACACTCCGTAGAGAAGAAAGAAACTCGCTCTGATGCGCGACAAGAACATCGAGGTTGACCAGACGAGGAAGAGAGCATACACGAAAGCCTTCAAAGTTTCCAACTACCACGTCTAGAGTGCCGATTTTTGAGCACGCTCGGCCTTGCTTTTTCGGATTGCTGTGCTGCTAATCTTGGACGCAAAATCTTCTGTTTTGGCTGACCCTTCCTCATGTTCTTGTGCATCTAGAACATCCACCTCGAAGACCTCCAGTGCAGCCCAACCTCTTTCCGCCCTCTTGTCATTAACCGCTTGACCTCCGGACCTAGTCTCACCTGATACTACAAGTGCCGTAACGCTTTCATCTGTGATTGTAGGGCCAAAGGGGTCTTGAATTTCGACACACTCAATTGTCAACAAGCAGTTTTTCAACCTCGTGTGAATTGCCCGACCATTGGGAACCGGTTCATCAAATTTGATAGTCTCCAAAATCTCCTCTGCACCAGAGCGGGTGAACAAGAGGATAGACAGTAAGAAGTTGACAACATCCTGTTGCCGCTCGTCCCAACTCTTCAAATACTCGGCGTACTTCTTATTTTTGAGAAGTTCATCGCCCGTGATCCCCACAATCAATCTCCGGGGTATGGTGGAAGTTCTGCTGGCAGGCTGAAGGAGAAGAGCCGTAGCTGTAAGGAGGAGTTTATGACCAGCGTGAATATGATCAAATGTACCACCGACAGCAATAACATTATGTGGGGTAGACGTTCGGGAATGCTGAGCAGGCTGTGGAATCTTCTGGATCAGGCTGACACCACCACTGGCAGTTCTCAAATGGCCGAGCACTGGAGGACTAATCCGATTTGCAAGGTTGGTGTAGCTCGACAACACCTTCTGACCCTCTTCACCATCCACGGAGAATATCAGATTCCATCGGCGTCGCGTGATCGAGAAAGTGGGAAGATCTATGATCGGTCCCGACACAAAAGGATCGAGTGTAGTCTCATGATCTGTTGAATAGGTCTGAGATGACCCGTAGTCTAATAGCAGAATACGAGCATCTATAGCCCCGGGGGTATCTGATTCAACATCGACTCCTAATTTCGCACATGCCACGCATATCAGGCTATATAGGCCTGCCAGAAGCTCTTGAGCCTCGTGATATATCTCGGATCTAGGGCGGTGCAATCGGCCGTGGAGGCTTGGGCATGGAAGCACAACCAATAGCTCCGTACTAGTCTCGAGGCCTTTCAGGGTCGAGACAATGGAGGTAATGGAGGGACGATATGCAGCGGAAAGGGAGGCCCGGGTGGCTGGTGAAGGAGGAGGGGGGAGAAGGACAAGGGATGGGAGGGGTTTTGGCATACTGAGGATATACTGGAGCGAAGCAGGGAGAATAGATGGCCACTTGGATCTGGAGTGAGCTGTAAATAGATCTGGTCGTCGAGTTGTGGTTCTGGGAGCTAGGTTCGCTTCGCTCGTGCGGAGTACAATACTTAGTCACGTGAGTGACCCGGAAAGATCCCGGAAAGATGTAAGTGCTTAGATAATTTAAGATACCTAGGTAGTACTACTCTAAATAAGTCTTCTTATAAGTCTTATTCTAAGATAGGTACATGCAGGTGGTTACGGAGTGAGATTGACGGGTGACGGAGTGCTTCACTTCTGTGATGAACCGTGACCACCGGGTATTATAAGCGAATTTTACGCACGCCTCAACACCGAACCAGGCACTTTGGCGGAGTGGTTAACGCGATGCCCTGCTATTGTTGAAAACAAAGCATCCAGGCATTTCCTTCGGGAGCGTGTGTTCGAATCACACAGGTGTCGATTACTTTTTTCCTTTTTTTGCCTATTTCTTTTTTTTGGGAGGTTTTCCCTATCCTGCGTGAGTGACAGACAGACACTTGGAATGACAATAATTGGCACCTGCATGGAGATCTGATCAACTGGGGTAGTAATTGAATTGGGGTCTCCCTGCAATGGGTCACGGCGCAGATAATCGTGAGATGCGCAGGTCCTCAGATGACCCGTCTGTCCATCTCACAAGATGGTGTGTGAGACAGTATCTGACTGATTTCGATCATAAATTGGTTGATGCTTGATTTTTGACTTCGAGCTGACAGTGCTCTGCCCCCGCCGCCCAGCGTCTCAATTCTATTTTTTACCCCTCCTATTCTCCCAACCATCCATACAAACAAACATAATAACGGATATTGAAGAATATAGAATACCCAGCTTATTTATTATATTAGTCAGTTCATCAATTTTCTCTAAAGGGGAACTTAGTCAACTGGCCCCCGCGCCCTCTGCACAGAGTATGAAAGAAAAAGATTTATTCCTTCGGGAGGAAGATCCGTGTTCATACGTGTTTCATTTTGGGGATATTGTGTTGGGGAAGGGGGTTGCGTAGCTGCTGTGGGGAGATAGGATGCGGGGTCTGGTGGGACGGGAGCGACATTTAGAAAAGGGGGGAGAACGAGGAGGCGCACGAAATAAACATGGAAAAAAGGAACACTGGTCTCCCTGTCCCCTACCCCGACTCTACTACGACTTTCTAGGCGCTCCCTCGCTAAATCCAGCTGGTGCACGATGGCGATGAACCATGTTATCCTTCCACTCTCCGGATGACCTGCAGCTCCTGGACACAAAATCGATCGTTACGGAAGTAGAGGTGCCATCGAAAACTGTGGGAGAGCAACGAACATCCGTGATAGTGGCGTATTGGGGAGGGAGACAAGTAGCAGTGAAGTAAAGGTGGTGGCAATCAATAATTGTTCACCATTCAGATCAAGCAACGCGCCGAAAGCTATAGCTGGATTCAGATGCCCTCCAATTCCGATATTGTTTTGATTCACCTTTCAAGATGGTCAGCGTTCAGCAGAGCCGAGAGAGACACTGGAACTAACTCAATATAAGTCTTTGAAACTCAGCAATCGAGCTTTGTTTGGCAGCTCCAACTCTCGAAGCCCGAGAGCTTGAATACTGTGTGACCATCGATCGCTCAGTCCCAGAGTTTAACTTCCTTCGTGTTCCGGGGAATTGATGACGTTAGAGAGACCCGTTCCTGAACTGCTCTATTCCAGGCCGTCTGAGCAGAACTGCATCAAATATAACCGAGAACAATAAACAAAATATGATGAGAGTCGATGGGTGAATATTCTTTCTGTGCTCCTCGCAACCCAGGACACAGAAAGCAACGGGCAACGGTATCAAGGATCCCGAGAGTGCTAGCTTCAACATCAACTCGCCCAGACGGTCCACTTGGCCGTCTGATCCTGGTCTAAAAAGACAGCAAGACGACTTGTACAATCCTGAAAAGTTAAAACTACGATTGACACCTGTACAGGTGGCCAGCGAGTGCATAGAGCTGCTTTTCAAATGTTGAGAGAAGGGCGAAGCGCAATATGCAGAACAAGACCGCTCACCTCTCGCCAGTTGCCATACCCCCATATCTCACCATGCCTTGTTTTTCTGGATTGGGACCGCAGTTGGGTCTATCGGAATGGAAGGGCCAAGAGCAATAGGATACTGGGTCCCATCAAAAAGCAGGATGAAGTCGAAGCCGTCCCGGTCAACTGTAGCACACGCCCCATCTCCCACGGCCGGCCCGACGCTGCCGGCCAACAGAGGTCTGACTCGTTCCAGCAAGGTGGAAGGAGGATGACATGTTTTCAATTGTAAAGTCGTACCCGTAGCGCCCGTTGTACTGGCGAGGCCGACATGAGCAGGCCGGCGAGGCTGAAGTCAAGAACATATGGGGATTCTACGAAGAGGGAACCGGTGCGGGCTCTTCCGTGCGCCAGAGTTTGATTACTAATCAGAACAACCAACTTTACTCGGTACGGTCTCCCTTCACCCACCTTCACCCACCTTCATCTGACATATATCTGGGATATACCCCGTCTGGTATATACGGTGTGCATTGATCCATATACCCAGGACGGAGTAGTACCTCGGCTGAACTTTGTGCTGCATCTGAACCAGACCTTTCAGGATTTTTATATGTTTCTGCAAATTCGTTGGATAAGGTGATCCCAGTGGCACCTGGACGGGATAGATTTCCCAGGGTTGCGAGCTAATAATCGCTCAGCCGTCCAATCCTCTTATGATGTTATCATTTGACGAATGTCACCAGGGCCCGGGCCAGAGCAGTACCCCATACACCAAGTACTACTGTGCAGTGTACAGTGTGCAGTATGTACGGAGGTACCTCTGCTGTATGCCAAGCTTCGTATCAAGGCAGCCCAATTCCCCCTGTGCATATTTGATCGCGTGCTAATTCTATTTTTACTTCTGGTACCGTACACAACGCAAAATCTCTCATGAAACCCAACAAATGACGCCAGAGTCGTGTTCTCTGGTCGAGTAAGCCTCGTGTTGAGAAGGTTGCCCAGGGCCCGGGATATATAAGCACAACAGATATCCTTACGCTGCTTCCAAACAAATGATGGCTCTCACCCTCTCCGATAACAACTCCAGAGCTGCCACTAAGCAGGCTCGCCTCCTCAAGCCCCCCTCTGAGAAGGACGACGCGATGTCCGCCTGTCAATAAAGCACCCATTTCATCACACTCTGAAGAACTAACTTGGAGCTGGCATGAACAAAGTCGAAAGTTAAGGATCTGATCAAGGCAGCGTTCAATCCAGCGAAAACGCCAAGAGTCCTGCCATTGCACATGAAGCGACTAGTCTACCAGATCGACGGCAAAGGGAGAAATTTGGGAAGAAGGCAATGAGAGAGAAGACGGTCCTAGGGCATTTTGGTTCCAGCCTTGCTGATTTCAAGAGAACAATACCGAGTTGTCAGCTGTCGCGGAGAGATGTATACTGCTACAAGACTCGAGAGGGATGAGCTTTACGACAGTATATTCGAAGACTCAATGCCTGATATCGAGAGGATGCAACTGAGAACCAAGTGTGCGATGGAGAACAGGAATTCGATAGAGTGCAACTGAGTCTCAGCACAGGGAATGCTGTTACTATCCATGGGATAAATCTGGGTGATGTAAGAGATGCGCTACCTGTTTCATGATCCTCTTCCACTTTGACAAAACTCATACAAGAGCCCTGCTGATGTTTTCTTGAAGCACCGAAATCCTGCCTGACTATGACTTTTGAACCCGACTGGCTGCATCAGTGCAAACAGGGGAGCGAACATCCGCGTTCGGACGGGAAGAGCAAGAACTTTCTTAAACGACTGTTTGTCTAGATGGTCAAATCGCTGGTAAGAACAGGCTTGTATCTGGCGACTGCGAGCAACGCTGATCTGGCGTAGAACACCATTCAATAATGTTTCACTGGTAAGGTCTGGCGAAGTTGGAATTGAAATAAGATACTTCACTGACCAAGCATTTTTACGCACGGGCATCTGACCCTTGGCAAGGAAGGTGTCGGCAACTGCCTCTTCAGGCAAAGGCCTGCACATTAGTGTGTATGAAGGAATCTACTCATTGCAAAGGGAACATTCAACATGTTCGTCCAATCTTCCTCATTCCGTCCGAAAGAGATAGGGGGTCAGCAGCGGTCCGAGAAAGGACTAGCTCCCGCCTAACCGCCGATACCCCAGGGCAAGCTTATCAACATCAGCTAAACCACCTACGGAATACCACTTAGGTCATTCTGTCTACCATTTCCAACCCCCTGCTCGACTCCTGACTCTCGAATCTCGATAGACTTTCCTCACGTCTTATCGTAGTATGGGAATATGGGAGCTTTTGTCGCAGGCGTATAGTACGGTACATTGTTACGTCGAAAATACCCAGATGCGAGCAGTCTTCTGATCATCTCTCGCCCCCGTCTTCAGCAGAGCGTGCAAGTGCTGATCTGATTCGGTTATCCCCATGTCATTTGGAGTCTTGGACGGGCAGGCCATGTCTGAAGGAAGCAGATCGGTAACGTTACAACCCCTCTCGTTATTCTCCGACGGCGGCCGCTCTCCTCTTCTAGCGAAGTAGGTTCGGATGCTACGCCGCCTTGTGACTGACTGGTTGTTTCGGCGCGTGGGCACGGCCATTTTCATCATCCCCTGGCGATCTTTCACCTAAACTTCGGCGCCACACGATGCTACCACACGCCTACACGCCATCTCGAAGGTCTGGGATGTACGTTGTAAGTGCTTGCATATGGGGAAGTGTCTCTCACGAGTCACTACCAACTCTACTGCTCCAACCCCTTGCTATCTTCTACACAGCTTCCTAATTGCGACTACTTGCAAGTTGCTCTGGTATCACTCCCACGGTAGTTGCGCGGCTTTGGAGTTATTGGGGTGGCAAGGATTTGTTTCTCTGCCTCTCGGTATTGGGCTCCTGGCTTACGATTTCCCAATACAGATGATTTGGCTTGGGCTGATACATCTGGGGCTAACCTATCCTTCCCCCAGCAGTGGGGTGCTTCCTCCTCGATCTTAATATCATCAAATTGGATGAATCTCGCAAGTCCCTGAGCTCGGCGTCGTACCGACCCGCACTCTCTCACATGGTACTGTTCAGATGAACGTCTCCCCCCAAGCTCCAGAAAGGGAGCACGGGCATGGGACGTTTCATGCGGCGCGTATACAGAGTAGGACCTTGACATCAACCAGCAAGAGCCTGTAGAAGTTACCACTGGATGACTGGTTCATGGTTTGTTCATGGTCGCAAGATTGTGTTACAGTCGAAGAAACCTTCCAGCCTCTGAATTCGTAACCCAAGTATATAAAGCCTCATGACATTCTCCATTTCGATGTTGAAGCAGCATCAGCAACCCAAGCGGCGGTACTAACCTTCCTTCACAGGTCTCTTGAAAGTTCTCGAGCCATCATTCTTTGTACATATCTTCATATACTCATATCTACTCTTATTTGAGCCATGCCTTCGACTACTACCCTACTTTCTGCTGCAAGCTTGCTTGCTTCAATTCCGACAGTCTTTGCCGGGTTTAGCCCATCCTCCACCGGCAATATTGCAGTCTATTGGGGTATGTTGACCTATACTTGAAAATTTCGTACTCGTACTCATGCGAAGAAGGCCAGAATTCATATGGCCAGAGCTCTGGATCCCTTGAACAGCAGAGACTATCTACCTACTGTGCTAGTAAGTTTCTACCCATTTTCCCTTTGCTCCATGTGTACTGACAGAAATTAGATTCTCAGTTCGATGTACGTCTTGAAATATCACATCACAGTGACAAGCCTAACAGAAGCTTTTCAAGATCATTCCCCTCGCGTTCCTCACTACTATTTCTAATCCTGCATTGAACTTCGCCAATTCTGGAAATGACTGTACGGCTATCTCTGGCTCCAACCTATTCTACTGCTCTGAGCTCGAGTAAGTTTCAATCAAACATTCCGTCACTTGAGATCTGACAACCTGCAGGGCGGACATAGCAGAATGTCAATCCACATACGGGAAGACGATTCTCCTCTCTATCGGAGGAGCCACTTACACTGAAGGGGGCTTCAGCAGCGAATCTGATGCAGTCGCAGCCGCCAACAATATCTGGTCGATCTTCGGCCCCTATTCCTCAAGTTCATCGGCTCCCCGCCCCTTCGGCAAATCAGTTATCGACGGGTTCGATTTTGACTTTGAAACCACCGTCTCCAACATGCCCGCCTTTGGTAACCAGCTGCGAAGCCTAATGGATGCTGACACCAGCAAGAAATGGCTCTTGACCGCAGCACCGCAATGCCCATACCCCGATGCAGCTGACGGCCCGATGTTGGCTGGAACAGTCTCCTTTGACATCGTCTGGGTGCAATTCTACAACAACTACTGCGGTCTGAACGCCTTCACTACGGGATCTACCACGCAGAACAACTTCAACTTCGAGACCTGGGACAACTGGGCAAAGACCTCGTCTCTCAACCCCAACGTGAAGGTCATGCTGGGCATACCCGCCAACACGGGCGCCGCTGGGTCTGGCTACGAGTCTGGCAGCACGCTTGCAGACATCATTGCCTACTGCAAGAGCTTCTCCAGCTTCGGAGGTGTCATGATGTGGGACATGACTCAGCTCTATGCCAACTCGGGATTCTTGAGTCAGGTCGTTTCGGATCTTGGCAACGCTGCTGCTTCGGTCCCGGCCACCAGTACCGCCACTACTCTGACTACTGTTGTTGGCAAGCCAACCTCCACTATCTCGACTACCGCTTCTGCCACCGCGACGGGAAGTGGTGGGGTTGCACAATGGGGTCAGGTCAGTACTGTCTGATTAACACTCTAACTCCTATTATAAAAAAATCCCCACCAACCAAACCCATCACATAGTGCGGCGGCGATGGTTACACAGGTCCCACCGTATGCGCGAGCCCCTACACCTGCGTCTACTCCTCCGAATGGTGGTCGCAATGTCAATAAGCGCCGTCTCCTTCTCTTCCGCGAAGAGCTAACCGATAGGGGGAGCAAAAATCACCATTACCTTTCTGCCATGCATGCATGGCCTTCACTTCTAACTGTACATATTGTCGGGATGCTTGGGGAAGATCCATCGGTGATATCTTGACGCTCACTTTTTCCGCATTCTGCATGCATTTTGGTTTCTTGGAACTTGAAGGATGGATAGTATTTATGGGCTCCCCCTCGTTTTAACGAACGCACGCGGTTCTTATCTCGTGCATATCAATCATATCATATCATGATAGTTATTCAATGTTATTATTCCTTATATACCTACACTCGCTACCCCAGGTTTTGAATCCTGCATATGCATATTTATATCTGCTCCTGAAAAAAAGAATATCCCCTCCACCCCTTCTTTCTTCTAGATCTCGAATTACCCCCGTCTCCTCATGTAACCAACCCTTTTACCACAAATCTATTGAGAAGTAACAATCCAATGTCCTGCATCGTTCATGCTTTATATGAAAACTCCCTACATTCTTATTCCGAAAAGAAAAAAAGCAAGCTTGCTTCTGAATATCAATGGAATATCCGCCAGGCCGGCAGATGGGGTAAGCACGTGATTCATAAGATTCCGGATATTGGTTTACATTTATTTGCATTTAGATTTGACTTGATAGCAATAGCAAAGTCTAAGTAAGGTACCTATACTAAATATTGAGAAAATCCCTAGATTTTTCATCTCTTGTTCATCATTCTTCTATGCGTCTCTTAATTTAAAGTCATGAATATAAATTTGTTGATTGATTGAATTAATTCATTCAGCTGATATAAATTTAGCTCTGCAGTGGCTGACCCATGCCACCATACGTGATCATCTTGATGACCTGGTACTCCGAGATACCGTACTTGCTGCCTTCGCGACCGAAGCCCGACTCCTTGACGCCGCCGAAGGGCGACGCGGCATCGCTGATCAGCCCCGTGTTCACGCCAACCATGCCGACTTCCAGCGCTTCCGCCACGCGGTACACGCGCTGGAGATCGCGGGAGAAGAAGTAGCCGGCCAGACCGACGTCGGCCGAGTTGGCGATCTTCACGACTTCCTCCTCGGTGTCGAATTTGAAGAGGCCGGCGACGGGTCCGAAGGTCTCTTCGTTGGCGAGTTGCATGTCGGTGGTCATGCCGGTGATGACGGTGGGCTGGAAGAAGTTGGCTCCGAGCTCGGGCAACCTCTGACCGCCTTGGATGACCTTTCCACCCTTCTTCTCCGCATCCCGGACGTGCGCCTCGACCTTGGAAACGGCACGATCGTGGATGAGGGGTCCGTGGGTGACGCCGGCCGTGTAGCCGCCGCCAACCTTGAAGTCCTTGACCTTTGCAGCGAACTTCTGGGCAAACTCGTCGTAGATGCCGGATTGCACGAAGATTCTGTTGGCACAAACGCAAGTCTGGCCAGAGGAGCGGAACTTGCAAGCAATAGCACCGTTTACTGCGACGTCGAGATCCGCATCATCGAAAACGATGAAGGGAGCATTACCTCCGAGCTCGAAAGAGAGCTTCTTGAGGGAGGATGAGGCTTGCTTCATGAGGAGTTTTCCAACCCCGGTAGAACCTGTGAAGGAAACCTTCTTGATAGTAGGGGATGTCGTGAGGATTTCTCCTACTTCGACAGTATTATCCAGGGCAGTGACGATGTTAATAACCCCCTTGGGGATTCCTGCTCTGTGTCCAAGTTCGGCGATAGCCAGAGATGTGAATGGCGTCTCACCAGGAGCTTTTGCCACCACCGTGCAGCCGGCTGCAAGGGCGGGACCGATCTTCCGGGTAATCATTGCTGCGGGGAAGTTCCATCTGGAGTATATTTAATTAGCATTTGCCGCTAGCGATAAACCATGGAGACTTACGGTGTGATAAGCCCGCAAACTCCCACCGGTTCCTTGACGGTGATAACTCTGTTTCCCGGAACTGACGCCGGGATGGTATCACCATAGACTCGTGGTGCCTCCTCGCTGAACCACTCGAAGAAACCAGCCGCATATGCAACCTCTCCCTTTGCATCCGCCAAGGGCTTGCCGTTCTCCCAAGTGATGAGTGTAGCAAGATCCTCACTGTTTTCGATCTGCCAATTATCAACATCTGAAAGTTGTCTCTGCCTCCACACGTAGCGTGCAACATACCATCAGGTCGTACCATTTTCTCAAGAGCTTGGAACGTTCTCGGCCGGTCTTGGTCTTGAAGGAGGGGAAGGCAGCAGCAGCGGCGTCAATTGCACGCTGCGTGTCTGCAGCATTGAAGTCGGGGGCGGTCCCAATGAGCTTGCCAGATGAGGGGTCTATGAGGCCACGCCGGTTAGTACGGATTTCTAAGCAGGAGGGAGGAGAGTGGATTTGGCAAATCGACTCCGGAAAAGGCCATACCAGTCACCTCGAAGGTCTTCCCCGACTGTGCCTTCACCCATTCGCCATTGACGTATGCGACATTGGTCTTGAGCAGCGAGGGGTCGTTGAGCTTTGGCACGATATGAGACATGTTGGAAGCTTGACGACGCAGGTATAAGTGGGGGAGGTTGAAGGGTTGGAAGCGTGAGCGTGCGGGTGAGCGTGAGAAGGATCGGGCGGTGGAAGCTGTTGATCTGAAGAGGTTGTTCATGCTGAAGAGGAGGGCGAGAGATAATCCTCCTCTCGATCTTTATAGCGTGACGGATGTAAGGGCATCGAGGGGTGGTGGTTCAGTAATTGGCCCGGGAATAAGGGAAGAGGGCCTTGGAGGGGTGGAGCTGTGGGCGAGATCGGGGTTGGGGAGAGCTCGGACGTCATTATTGCCGGGGGGACGGGTGAAGTTGTTATATAATCAACGATAGATGAGGGTTGGTTGCCCTGGTTCCTCAGGCAGATATTACTGTATATATTCCTCAGGCATTTACAGTCTATATATCAGGCAGTAATCAGGCATACTTAGATATCTAAGGCATCAACAACTCTTCCTTCCCCTAGGCCAGATGTAGCATAGTCACATCTCCCGCTTAAAAAGGAGGGGCACGATTGCCCTGCTCTCCCCTCTCACCTTACATCTCCATCCATCCATTCATCTGTCTACCTACCTATCAAATTGTCTCCGGAGCAAGCGCTTCATTGACAGGACAGAGCCGCATAGGATCTTGTCTGGCCTACCACATGCCTCGCTTCAAAAGACCCGAACCTCGGAGCCTCGAGCCTTAAGTGAGGTCTGCAGATCCACGCACAGACTGTTCTTCAGCCTTCCTGATCGTCTGCTGTCTTACCCGACTCATGTCCTCGGGAAGAAGAGCCCACATATTATTGTTTCCGACAAGCCGTTTAAGGCATTATTATTCTCTGGACGGTCTGTTGAACAGTCTAAGTGTTCTCTTTGAAACTATTTCTAGCATTTTCAAACAGACTGCAGCAACCATGCTCATTCCCGTTTCCCGTCAAACCCCGCTGGCGGGTCGAAACCTGGTCACGTACCCCGCCATGCGGGGGAGAGGGGACCAGATGTTCGGTGAAATATTTCTACGAGTGCTAATTTCAATTTATCCGACACGCAATCAGCGTGCGTGTCGGCCTTATTATTGACTGTGTGGTTTGCAAAGGCCCGAATCTAACTGCTCTATAAGATCGAGGGAATCTGTTGCCATGTGCTCCCTCTCTCTTCTCCACTCGGGACGGCTTGCTCAGTCCAAGATCTCGAGAACATACGATCATTTTCCAGCATGGCGAAGTCATTGTCCGTTCTAGCGCTTGCCTGCTCTTCGCTGTTCTCGGGCTTGGCCCAGGCCCAGATCTCTCCTGTTGTCGTAAACAGTACGCCGGTAAACGCAAGTGCGCCTATTCCAGAAGCATTCGTTAGCTTCTCAATTGAGTTTGCCTTCTTTCCAGACTATGCTGGTACGTTATCCAATCCAGCAGCAGTTACACCACCTCACAGTCACTAGGGAACCTTTCACACCCGAACCGCTTCTCGGACAACCTGCTCCAGAACATCGGAAGCTTGATGGGAACCAAGCCCCATATTCGAGTTGGAGGCAACACTCAAGACTACGCACTATACAATGCCAGCCTTAAAGAAGCCATCAATGGAACTTACAATCTCGCGAGATCTGCAGATTATCCCACCACAATCTACATCGGACCCTCATTCTTCGAATCCTATCGGACCTGGCCCAATACCAAATTCTCTCATGGTTTCAATCTAGGGCTTGGAGCTAACAATACTGCTGGATGGGAGACACTACTAGAAACTGTACCATTGGCATGTAAAGCTCTCAGCGGTGGAAAGCTTCTCGTGTGGGAGTATGGAAATGAACCGGATCTCTTCTCCACTTCCTCTCAAGGACCTGTTCGACCACCTTCTTGGAATGAGCAAACATATGTCTCCCAATGGCTCAACGGAACCCGCGCAATCAAGAGTCAACTGGCTAAAGCTTGCCCTGAGATGACGTCGAACGCGACCTATGGATACATGAGTCCATCATTCGCGGGAACTAACAATCACCTGAAAGCGGCTACAGCCTTTGCGGACAACCTCGATGCAGATGAAGACATCAAGCTTATCTCCATTCACAAGTATGATTCCCTTCAGTCTCTAGATAGCGGTAACTAACGAATAAAAGCTACATCGGCGGCGCCACCCAACCCGGCGTAACGCTCCAAGGAACCCTCATGAACCACAGCTCCACCGTGCACTCCATTTCCGCACATCTAGCCCTGCGCAACAGCCTCGGCTACACCGGCATCCCCTACATCCTTGGAGAGACCAACTCCCTGTACAACGAAGGGGCTCCCGGCCTCTCGAACGCCTTTGGTGCTGCTCTCTGGGGCGTAGACTTCAACCTCTGGTGTGCGTCGCAGGGCATCAAGCGCACACACATGCACCAAGGCACCGACTACCGCTACGCCGCTTGGCAACCCGTCGCGACCAACAAGACGACCATCGGCACCAAGCCGCCGTACTACGGCAATATCGCCGTCGCCGCCATGCTGGGCAACCTCGCGCAGCACTCGGTGCAGATCTCCAACCTGCCGCTGCCTTCTGAGTTCGAGAGCGCCTACGCTGCCTACGAAAACGGGCGCCTGGAACGCATCGCCGTGCTGAACATGCGCGAATACAACTACACCGTCAATGGGACCTCGAGCATCCCCAATCCCGTGCCGCGCCCGAGCCAGACCTATACCTTCCAGCTTCCCCACGAGTGCGTCGGGGTCGCCATCAAGAGACTGTACGCGAACGGCAGCGATGCCGTCTCGGGCATCACGTGGGATGGCTGGAGTTACAACTATGAATTGGAGCAGGGCAAGGCGGTGCGCTTGCAGAACGTCACTACGGGCGAAACGGCGTCGGTAAAGCGCGGCTCTGTGAGCGTGAGCGTTGAGGACTCAAGCGCCGTTATCCTGGAATTGCAGCGATCTCGATGATCGCTGCATGTCATGTCCCGGGGATATCCACACATGAAGTAACCACCCTATCTACTCCGTAAAACAATTATTAATCAATTAATTGAATAATTATCCCCGATGCCTGCCCCTTCCCCGGGAATAAACCTCTCCTTTCCCCCTCCCCGCCGCTCCCCGCCCGCTTCTTATCCCCAGAATAATTGTTACCTTACTCACTCTATAGTATCTGTTACAAGAAACCACTGGCCTTATCACGTGGGGTTAGCAGTCACGGGACTAGGATGCTCCGGAGGCCCTAGTCTAACCTAATCAGGGTTAGTAACCCGCCAAAAGTTAGTTGTTTACTATTACTATACAGGCACTCTATATGATTACTTTACTTAGTTAATTTAATTTAATAGTTCCTATAATAGATCGATTATCCTGTACAATATAGTAGTAATACTATTTGATCTCCTCTACTAAACTTAAATCAATCTATCGTAAGATTTGTCGCGGTAAAGCCTGTTTTTAATTATAGTACATCTGTTAATCGAATAGAGCTCTAGACAAGATTATAAAGCCTAGAGAATAACAACTATATTATAGAACCCTAGACTAATCTATAATGTCTAACTTAACTACGCTCGTAAGTAGTAAGAGGCTATAAGGCAAGAGTAACTTCTGTACTTAGAAGACAGATATATACGACATACTTAAAGCTAATAGGCTTAACAGGTTTATATCTAAGAAGTATCTTATTCTTAAGTCTTATAAGTATAGTAATACTACTATAACAAAAGAAGAGCTAGATTAGTATAACAAATAAAGAGCTAGTAACACTATAACGCGTTAGGTTATTAAAGAGAACATATCGTTAGTTCTAGTACTTAATCTTATAGCTAAAGTAGACTTAGTAGAGGCTATATAGACTAAGCTAGCTAATTACTATAAGGGCAAAGGGTTTACTTAGTAGTATTAAGCGGCAGATAAGTTCTAGCTACTTAGATATAAGGACTATAATAATATAAAGAAGTTTATTAACGCCTTTATAACTCGACTTAAACAAGCTACATAACTAGATATAGTGCCTAAAAGCAACTACCTATATACTATTATCTTTATTAATTAACTTATAAAAGCCTTTCCTTAATAGGCTAAAAGACACTAATCCCTTTAAAACCTATAGAAGAGTAGTAAGAAAAGTACCTTATTACTTAATACATTAGTTATAAAGATTAGGGATAAAGCCTAGGTAAAGGACAGTAGATTAGTACCTTTATTAGTATTACTATATAGTAGTAAGCTAGATAATAAGGATAAGGAGAAGGGTAAGGGTAAGGATAAAGATAAGAAGAAGCTTAAGAGAAAGTAGTACTACTACTATAGTAAGCTCTACGTTATAAAGGATAAAGACAATTACTAGACTACGTTCCTAGAAAAGCGTCTAAAGAAAGATTAAAAAGAGTCTTTAAAGAGCGCTATATTACTTTATATAGTAAGTAATTAGTAGCCTTAGATTAATAGTGCGCTAGGCCTTAAGGCTTTAAAGGTAGCGCTTAGATTAGCTACTTAAAAAGAGTTCTAAAAGGGGAACTAGTACCTAGATATAAGGGTAACTTACTATATATATAACGATAAGTTAATCTTTTATAGCTTTAAGGTAACTAAGTAGTTATAACTTATTCTAATAGGCACTAGATTAATCTAACTAGAGGGTTATAGTAATATTATCCTAAAGGCTAAGGTAAAGAGCGATTAGTATTACAAACTATAGCTAGAGAGAGTTCTGTTTATTCTAACCTTTCTTATTAATCTCTTATTAGGTATTAAGCTACTATACTATAGTAGATCTATTATAAAGAAAGCCCTTCTAGACAAAGAAAAAGAGACGCTTATACTTTATAAGGTTAATAATATAAGGGTATATCTATAGTTAGACTCGCCTAGCTACTATATTATAGCACTACTAGCTACTCTTTAATAAGGTAAACCAGGAATTAAACTATAGTATAAGAGATTAGGGCACTTAAGCTTTAATAACGTCTAAAAGACTATAGAAATTACTACTAGTATATAGATTATAGACAAGCCTATAGATACAGATCTTAGCGTTATAGTTCTCTATAAGCCTTACAAGCTATTAAAGCTACTACGCTTAGTTAGACGCTCTATTAAACACTAGCCTACTATTATACTCTAAGAGGTAAGTATAGACATAGTAGAGGTTACCTTAATTAGATTCTATAGTAAGTACTACGCTACTATTATAATAGATATAGTAACTCGTACTAGATAAGGCTACCCTTATAAGAAGAAAGAAAAGGCTTATAATAAGATCCTTAGCTTTATTAATATAATAAAGCGTTAGTTTGCCCTCTTTAAGATCCTTATATTAATAGTTAATAGTAGTAACAAATATAGTAGTATTACGTTAACTAGCGTCTATAAAGTAAAGGGGATTTAAGTTAAAGAGACTATACTATATACCCTTAAGTAACTAGGCGTGTCTAAGATTATAAACAAGATTATAGCTAGACAGCTACGATCTACTATAATTAACTAGAACGTCTTTAAAGAGCTATAGCTAGAGTTACTAGAAGGGACAATTTATGTTGTTAATAGAATAGCTACGTTAGCTATTAAGGGCAAAACCTTATATTAAGCCTTTATAGATTAGCTATACTTAAATTAAGACAATAAGCTATCTATAGCCTACTTATAGGTACTTAGCTATAAGGTATATATTTATATCCTAGATTAGAGACAGGTTAAGTTAAGGAAGTTTAATAAGTACGCTAAAAAGGGGATCCTTCTTAGTTTTAAAGGCTACTAAATATACTACTATTACGTGCCTTTAAGAGCTTATAAGATCGTTAGATTATTAAACGTAAGATTTAATAAAGAAGGTTTTGTATTAAAAGTATTAGATAATAAGATATAGTTACTACTAACTAAACCGCGCCTACTAACTAATCTACTTATAGATTTAACAAACACTAAAGGTAAAGATAAAGCTAAAGATTAAGAGCTAGCTAAAGATTAAGATCTAGCTAAAGTAGCTAAAATAGCTAAGAAACCGCCCTTTACTACTACTAATATTAATCTACTAGCTAATACTAACTCTACTATAAAACAGATCTAAGATTAGTCGACTACTGCCTTACCTAATTTAGTAGCTATTAAGTACGGCTAGGGGCGCCTAAAAGGTTTAAAGAACAAGCTAAAGGTAACTCTAGCTCTAGCTTAAGCTCTAGCTTAAGCTTAAGACTCTATACGTTCTATTAACCTTAAAACTACCTAAATAACTTAATCCTAATTACGTTACATAACTAAAGAGGATATAAGGGATAATACTAAATAAGGGGTATAGTAATTAGCTTATTCTACTATAGCTATAGCGTTCTACACTACTTACTAGACTATAGTTAAAGACGATCTAGAAAACGTCCTAATTATATATAAGAAGGTAGTTAGTAGCGTTAAGTCTAAGTAGTAGAAGAAGGCTATATAAAACAAACTCGACTTACTTATAAAGAACGATACATAAAGTCTAGTTAAGAGATTAAGCCTTTAAAAGGGCACTAAGGTTCTAGGTAGTAAGTAGGTGTTTAAGAAGAAAACTAGCGTTAATAGTTTAGTAGTACACTATAAGGCCTACTAGGTAGTTAAAGGATATAAGTAACGCTATAAGCGTAATTACGATTAGACTTACGCTAATATAACTAAAAGTATAACTTAGAAGGTAATCCTAGCCTTAGTAGCTAAGAAAGACTAAGAGACAGAATAAATAGACTACGTTATAGCCTTTCTAAATAGAGAAGCTAATAAGGATATATACGTAAAACTTTTAACTAGCTCTAGTAAAGATAACACTTATGTCTATAAGCTTAACAAGGCTTTATATAGTTTAAAGTAGGCTCTATAGTTATAATAGCTAAAGCTACGCTAAGTACTTATTAAGCTAGGCTTTAAGCTCTTAATAGCTAATAATTACATATATTAATACCCTAAGAGTAGATTAATCGTTATAACCTATATAAACGACTTCTTATTAGTCGGCCTAAAAGAGAAAGAGCTAGCTAATCTAAAAGAAGCCTTATAGAACACGTTTAAGATAAAGGATCTAGGTCTCTACTACTACTTTATAAGCGTTAAGATTATTAAGAACAAAAGTAACAAGACTATATCCTTTATATAAGACGCTTACGTTAAGAAGGTACTTAAACACTTTAAGATAAGTAACTACAAAGCCTTTAAAACACTATTAGACCTAGCTTATATAAAGCTTATAGTTTTAAACCTAGATTACGCTATAGTAGATTAAATTAAACTATATTAGTAAATCGTTAGTTTACTTATATACTTATTAACTTAAATACGCCTAGATCTATACTATTTAATGTCTATATTATTACGCTATCTTACAAACCTTTTTACTAACTATATAAGCGTTATAAAACACGTGTTATAATACCTATAAGGTACGCCTAACTTAGGAATTATATATAAGGCTAGTAAAGGAGCGTTAAAGGGATTATATAGATATAGCGATTTAGACTACACTAGTTATATAAAAACACAAAGATTAACTATTAGATATCTATTTAACTACTATAGTAGCGTGATATCCTTTAGATCAAAGTGCCTATAAGTAGTAGTACTCTTCTTTATAGAAATAAAGTACTATAGGCTCTCTAACGCTATAAGAGAAGCCGCCTAGCTAAGATAGCTATTCTATAAGTTAGGTATTAACTTAGAAGACACTAAAACAATCTAAATATATAGTAATAACTAAGGATCTTTAGTACTAATAGATAACCTAGTTATCTACTAGAGAACTAAGTATATTAACGTATAGTACTACTATATTTAAGAGTAAGTCGCGCTAGGCAAAATAAAGGTCTAGTTTAAGCGTATAGAGGATATAGTAGTAGATAGGCTTACTAAAGCTCTAAAAAGACCTAAACATACTAAGTTCTTAAAGCTATTAAATCTATATACTATAGCTATCCTAATTACCTAATTAAGACGATTCCTTATTTCTATTTCCTTTTTTAGTATTAAAAGTAGTAGAATCTTACTAGTTTACTATTTCTATTTCCCTTTATAGCGATAAGACAGTAAAAAACTTACTAGTTTACTATTTTTATTTCTTTTTTTAGTAAAAGTAGCGGTAGAATCTTACTAGTCTACTATTTCTATTTCCTCTTTTAGCATCTTACTTAGTAGAACGACAGGCGGTATAGAATTTAGGTTAGATTTAGGTAGATAAGACGTTATAGGCGTAGATTTAGGGGTGTGTTACAAGAAACCACTAGCCTTATTACGTAGGGTTAGTAGTCACGGGACTAGGATGCTCCGGAGGCCCTAGTCTAACCTAATCAGGGTTAGTAACCCGCTAAAAGTTAGTTGTTTACTATTACTATACAGGCACTCTGTATGATTACTTTACTCAGTCAATTCAATTCAATGGTTCCCGCGATAGATCGATTATCCCGTGCAACAGTATCTATCTATCTATACACAAGTCACCCATCCCCAATCTCCGAGTTCCGGATCATCGCATCTGCAGTGTTTCAAATTCCTGTCCTCGTACCGTATATGCACGTAACCCTGGCTCATGAGGTCTGTACTTAGGTACTGATACGACATGTCGTACGGTTAGTTACCTACAGAGTACTTATTATTATTGGGTAATTCTATGCGACGGGGGTTGATGGGATATGTTTGCTGTGATATTTTGGGGGGAGGGTAGAGAGGGATGGGATGGGATTAATCGTGAGACGAGCGATTTGCACAATACGAAAGAAATGAGAGCTATATGTATGAACAAAATCCAGGTTGGTTCTATGACATGATATGTATGTGAGAATATTTATATAACAATCGAAGAAGTAAGCAAGTAAGTAAGTAAGCAATGCGAGATGATCTAGTTCACAAAAAAACAGCTATTTGTTAACAAGTTTGCTGCGCGCCCCTCTACTCTAATGTACCTATAGGTAAGGTAAGGTAAGATACTGCTCGGTCACTTCTCGCCCATTATCAGCGCCTCCAACTTTTCCTTCTCCCCGCTCTCGCTCACCATGCCTCTAAAGATGCCACCGTCACCACGCGCCATCAGCTCTTTCGGCGTGCCGAACTCGGCCACCTTGCCGTCGTCCAAGACTAGGATCTTGTCGAAATCCGCGATCGTGCTGAGCCGGTGCGCGATCACGACTAGCGTGCTGTCGCTGAACTCTTCGCGGATCGAGCGCTGGATCAGCGTGTCGGTGGCCATGTCGACGGCCGACGTGGCTTCGTCCAGAACCATGATCTTGGGCCGCGACACGATGGCGCGCGCCAGGCAGAGGAGTTGACGCTGGCCTTGCGAGAGGTTAAGGCCGCCTTCGGTGATGGGCGAGCTGAGGGATGTGAAGGGGTTTATGTTTTGGTTGCCGTTGCTGGTTGTGGAGGCAGGGGTGGAGTTATCGGCTGGTTCACCGGGCGTGGCGAGCGCAGAGGGGGTAACGAGATGGACACGCTCGAGCGCATCACGTAATTCGCTATCGGTGTGTTCATCAAACGCATCGAGGTTACTCCTCACAGTTCCTGAGAACAGTACTGGATCTTGAGGAATGATTGCGAGGCGACTACGAAGCGCCTGTAGTTTGATCTTCGAGATATCAAGTCCGTCAATGTGAATACTTCCTTCTCGCGCTTCGAGGAAACGGAAGAGCGCCAGTGTTAAACTGGATTTGCCGGCCCCGGTTCGTCCGACGACGCCAACCCGCTCCTTGGACTCAATTTTAAAGGTTAGACCTTTTAGGATAGCTGGGAGGTCGTCTGCGTAACCGACGACAAGATCGTGGATCTCAAGACTGCCTTTGCTAGGCCAGTGGGCAGGTGGATCTGCGCCTTCGAGGGACTCCGTAGGCAGGTTGGAGTATTCTATGATTCGCTCTGCGGCGTTCATATCCAATTCCAAATTCGTATAATGTCTGATGGTCCAGATGACGGTCTGGCCATACTCGAGAGCAAAGCTGAGGGCAAAGCCCGCTAATGCGGCATCAATACCAGGCAATAGGATGATCATAACAGCTACGACAGTAGCAAAGAAGCTTCCGACAAGACTCATACGCCACCCCATCCAGCGATTGCAGAGCCAGAGATGCCAAAATGTGGTGCTGTGGTCGTCAATCTTGCTGAACATGCGTGAAATATATGTGTCAGTCTTGGAGAAAGCGCGGATGGTGCCTACACCTGTTAAAGCCGATCCAAACTGTTCGAAAACGGGTGATTTAGCGGTTGACTCCAAGCGTTTCACCTCTCGTGCACCTTGGAGATAGAGTCTAGCTATATAAATACACATGGTGAAGAGGGCGACGGAGAGGAGGATTACGAGAGGTGATACGAAGATACTGCAATTTATCAGCGACTGAAGCAAGAGGATTAAAATGAAGGCTCTTACCCCGCAACTACTACCCCCATGAGGCGAAATAGGTTGTTAGCTCCCATGCCGACATCAGAAGACAGCCTCGTGTCAACGACATTAAAATCCGCCGTGAATCGATTGAGGATTCTGCCTAACGGGACGGCATCTAACCATCTTGTAGGAGTTCGCAATATGGTAAAGCTGAGCCTGTCGAACATCCTCCTGGAAGCTCGAATGGCGCCAGTGAAGATGTAATAGTAGCGGAAGGTGCCGAGGAGTGCGCAGATGATAGAGAAAGCCACATATATGCCCAGATAGTATTGGAGACTGTGCACATCAGATGCAGGAGGCGTACTGATCGTATTCGCAGACGTGGAAAATGACCCCAGGTTATGGACTTGGAAGGAATAACCAAAGGTATGTGATATGGCATCAACAGAAACCTTGCTGTTGGCAGTCCAAAGCTTCAGCCACCATGCTCGTCCTGGGAAGAGTATGTTAGTGATTTCTGTACCATCCCAAGAGACAGGCAGCGAATGACAAGGTAGTCAAAGCTTGAAACAGGTAACTAAACTTACCAGTAATAAAGGCCTGCAGCACTGCAAAGGCAATCAAAGCAATCAGCCAGAATGGCCAACCACCACTTGCTTTCATATACTCAAAATAGATATGGCTCTTCACCCGGCCTTGTTCTCTTGTCTCATCCTCCACAAATTTCCTCGCAGCTTTCTTAGAATCCACTTTCTTCAACACCTCTCCGATCTCACCATCCGTAGAATCATCAGAGTTCACCGCGGTAGGAGCTTCATCTTCCTGAATTTCAGACTCTGATTCCTGGTGATCCAGGATCTTCTGCATTGTGCCAGTCTCTTCTAGGACATCCACCAAGCCGGCGTTCTCGACAGTGCCATCTCCCAGTTCAACGAAATATTTCGTCTTTGGCCTGCAGAGCGCGACGTGATGTGTTACAAGGATTCTCGTTCGACCAACGCCCAACTCGCCTGTAAGACCCTTTTCGAAGATAAATCGTCCGACGTGCGCGTCAACTGCACTGAAAATATCATCTAAAATCAATATACCCGCGCGCGAATACAGTGCGCGGGCAAATGTAACTCGCCATTTCTGCCCACCACTCAGGTTGATGCCATTAGCACCTATCTCAGTACTCTCGCCATCCGTGAGCATCTCCAAGTCTTTTTTCAAGGCACATACTTCAATGACTTTGTTGTATCGCTCCTCGTCAAATGGAAGGCCGAAAAGGATATTGTCCCTGATACTTGCATTTTCAATCCAAGGAATTTGGGCAACGAAGGCGATTGAGGAGGGAATGATCCAGTTATCTCTTGTGGCCAAGTGATCGTAACGATCCCGTGTAAGAGGCGGCCGAGGAACGTTAATCTTCCCGGATAGGACATCCACTTCTCCAAGAATTGCTGCTAATAACAAACTTTTACCCGTGCCAGTCTTTCCGCTGACGACACTGAGTTCCCCTTCTGGGAAAGATATATCAAGGTTTCGAAGAACATATCGCTCATCGCCGTCTTCCTTTTCCTCATTCGATGGCCACGCAATCGAAGCCTTCTCGAATGATACGTTGGGGGCGTCATTTGTATTTGCTGATATCTCAGGTGCGCCTAGATACTTCTCAATTCTCTCGATGGAGACTTTGGCATCAATGAGATCTGTCGTAAGCTCAGGAATGACGCCGAGGGTGACCTCTAGATTGCTGAAGACTCCGATTGCAGTAAAGGCGACGGCTGGGGTTAGTTCACCATATTCATAGGCATAAAATGCCAGAGCAGTTGCAGAGAGCAAAATTGGACTCGCGATCCAGCAGCTACAGAATGATTAGATAATATCAATGATAGAGCGCATGGAACCCACAATATCAGCATTGTATCAAAACTAGCACAAGTTAGCCAATATTTAGAGATGATAGAACGGCAATCAGTACTGACATATAAACATTCCACTGTTCGTTCAACTCCTTAGCTCGTACTTTGCCAATTTTCTCCTGCCAGTTCGATTCCAGGGCAGAAAATTTGATTTGACGGATACCTGAGCATCGGTTAGCTAACTTGAACATTGCCTTTGAAGGCTGCCGGACGTGCCTTGCAATGCCTCGCTGACAACAGCCATTTTGTTATCTCTGACTTTCATGAGTCTGTCTTGCGCAGCTGAATAGCGTTTGCTGCAGAAGATGTTGAGCGGTATTGTAAGAGAGAACGCCAAGAATCCTGCTAACAGTGCCTTCCAACCGATAATGCTCAGCAGAAAAGCAAAAGACACCACTAGCTTGAAGAGACTGCCAGGAAAGTAATTGTTGAAGGAGCAGAAGTCAGAAACTCGCTTCGTATCAACCCCTATGAGATTCACAGTTGACTGTTTGCCGTTCGGATCACCTTCTTCTTCATCATCCTTCTCCGTGGGGTCTTCTGTGGGCTTTTGGGCCTCATCTGGACCACCATCTCCCTCCTTGGTTTTCGACTTTGAAGCACCCTTGACATCCTTCCGTCGCATGGCTTTCTGAAAGATGAGAGCCGACAATTGAGCTCGTACAGGAATCGCGATTTCGGACCACGAGATCCAGAATAGCCATGATTCAATCCCCGCGGCTCCGATCGTAGTAAGCATAAGGACCACAACCCAAATCCATGCCTCTGAGCTTACTGGCTGTCCAGAAACCCTATCCTCAAGAATTCTGAGAAGATGAAATGTGACGAACTGCGGAGCAAAATTCCCGAACGCTTGTATTAGCGTCAAAAGCCACTGGACGATAAAAGGCCATTTGTGAGCAAGAAAGACCTCAATCCAGAGCTTTCTTGGATGCTCCTTTTCTGCCCAAGCTTCGCTGAGATCTCGAGATCGTGTGTAGTGGTCCATCTTCGTCAAATCCTCTAACTCTAGTCGCTTTTTCTCCCTCGCAAGAGCAAGGATATTGGCGACCCAGGTAAAGCTGTATCTGCCAATAGCAGATACAGTGTACATGCCGTCAACAAGAACACCATCCTTGAAGACATCAGGTCGTCGTGGAATGGAGACACCGGCGAATCCTGCAAATACAGCAAGCGCCAATTGCGAGAGGCGAAAGGCTGCCATTTCTGGCGGCCCAATATTACCAAACGAAGGGTCTTGTAGAAGTAATCCATCCTGGAAAAGAAGGAGTGCGAACAACAATGTGCACGAAACTGTGGCATAGACGCCAAGAGTATAACTTCTGGTTGTCTTTCGTACGAGCACTACGCCAAGGGTCTGAATGAGGACGAGAGACTTCATAACGTTAGTTTGATCGTTACCCAGTCCACGCTGTACATACCCATTGAGCTACATTCAGCCAGTTCTCGAGGAACATAGGATCGAGGTCTCGATTTAAAGTAGTGAGAACAGCAAAGGCAATTGCGGTCGCAAGACCAAGGATTGTGAAAATTGACAATAGAATCTTGGGGACCTTGGCACTGTATTTCGCCATGGACGCCTCCGAAGCAACCCCATCTTTATCCTCGTAAAGCGTCGACTTTGCCTTCGGCTCACGAAAACGAGATACAATGCTGAAAATTGATGGGAAGGTAAGCAGCGCGACCAAAATGAGCGAGGCCGCCGCTGAAGCAAGTGATCTCGAACCGTATCCGAGCATCTTGATTGACCTGTTACTGTCGGGGAGAAACGCGAGAACAGACGGTCATTCTAAGCTTAAGTGATCGATTGACCTGTACAGGGAGAGCTTGGTGGATAAGAGAAGGAAAAAATTCTCTCCAAGGAGCAATTCAATCCCTAGTCACCAGTTGACTCAGCATAAGCAGCCACGGCACATCACACACTCCTGTGAGTACAGTACAAGCGCAACGGTGAATCTTGCGGAGGAGTATTGGATTGAGTCACTCGGCCTGGAATGTTATTATACGGTATCAAGGCCAGGCTCAACGGGCTTCGGGTTGCACCATGCCCATCGCACATTGGCACATCAATATCGCTTTGATGGTGGGGCACAGTGGACTTGCTTGTTAATGGCGGAAAGGCCGGCTAAGCGATATCAGGAAGGCGATCGATGGCCTTGTCGTCGCCGTCCTGGCGTGCCATTCGTCGATAGCGGAGGCATATCGATTCTCTGGACTCTCTCTGCGTAGATCTGGGCGCGGTTGTGTGCAGTGCAGTGGTGCAAGTTCAACATCCCATCTCCCTTTGTAGGATCCTAGCACCGTGCATGGATTCATGGATTAATCGAGGTAGTCGAGACATCCTGTGCTTTTGCCTCGAGATGGAGATCTCAGACCGTACTTCCGTCCTTTGTTCGTATCAGTACAGTACCAGGTACATGTATCCAGCAGGCTGACCGCCAATCAACAGGCCCGTCTGGAGCGGTACTGGTATCTGCGGTCCACACCATCCATATATCATGCGGTCTGGGATCTGGGGAGAGTTCGAACTTCAAAGCAACTTAGCGGTGAAGGAAACCAGGGCAGTGCATCTCCCCAGCTGGGGTGAGGCTATGGAGTCGCCGGGGAAGACCTATTATTAACGAACCAGCCAACCAAGCTTCTCCTTGGCCGTTCCCTTTTCATCGTAAACATCTGGAGGAACGAGGAAGGCCAACGCCATGAGATGCACGCGAGGAAGGACATTGTGCCGTGCGTACATTGCATCAGTCACCCAAGCGTTGAGCTTGCGATAGGTATAACATGGTAAGCATCAGCCATCTTGCGAATAGCATGACCAGCGATATGTATATCCGAGGACGATGCTATGTGTGGTATTGCCCTTGGAAACCATGATGATCACGTTGTTGACCTTGCTTGTCTGAAGAGCACTGTATAATGCCCCTCGAATCGCAACGTTGGCGGTTTGAACCAGGTCAATGATGCAGAACAATGATATACAACAATGGTAGACATACAAAACAGCAGCACGTCTTGGAGAAATCGGTCCCAAGGGAAACAAAATCAGCTGAACATAGCTGAACAGTCAGAGAATTGGAATTGTGTTGGTATTGGTACAGCTTATACGGTATGATGCTGTAGAACATACTCCGTAGCTCTCCTCTTATGTTTGGCGACGCGACCCCTGCGGTCATCATGATGGGGATGGGGACGCGACCACACAACTCCCTCCCATTCAATTCAGCACTACAGTCCCGCACTTCACCACCTCCTCACGACAACCTTTCTACCCCACAGCAATCTGTAGATGAAGGAGAGTTGTCCACCATTGACGTCGTTATCCAGCCTCGCCCGCCTTCAATTCGACGTCAAGCATCAAACGACTGTACGCGAATGAATCCCTGACACCACCTGCATTCCTTCAAACCCTCAGCCCTTTCGACCTCTACGGGCTTCCTTTGGACCCCTCTTCCCTACCAAGGCCGATAGAACTTGCAATTTGGCACGCCAAAGGGTCTCTCATATTGTCATTTGAGAGAATCGGCACTGCTGTCGCCGGCTCCTGCAACAGTGCTTGAACCTCAACCCCCAACTCGGCCACGATGAAAAGCACCCCGCTGATAATTAACTGGCACGAGTCGAATTTGCCCATCTATTCTGCAGATTTTCAGAAGGGGGACAAGGGAAGATTGGCCACCGGAGGGGGAGACAACAACGTCAGAGTAAGAGATCCCTTCACGAAGGAATGCTTGCGTCACAACTGATCAACATAAACAGTTATGGAGATTAGAATCTGATGGAGAAGACCGGAAAATCGACTATCTAGCTACCCTAGCAAAACATACCCAAGCTGTCAACTGTGTTCGATGGGCTCCTCGAGGTCGGCACATCCAGTCCAAAAAGCTCGTTGGGATGTGCTAATACAAAGCAGGAGACCTACTGGCCTCGGCTGGAGATGACGGAAATATTATATTGTGGGTGCTGGACGAGAACAAGACTGCTACGCCTCTGTTTGGAGGAGATGGCGTTGAGGACAAGGAGGTCTGGCGCACGAAACATATGTGTCGATCATCCGGTGCTGAAATCTATGATCTTGCATGGTCACCAGATGGCATCTACTTCATAATTGGGAGTATGGACAATGTTGCTCGGATATATAATGCTCAGACTGGTGGGTTTTGCAGATTCACATTCACAGCCAAAACTCACATGGCACAGGTCAACTTATCCGTCAGATTGCTGAACATCAGCACTATGTTCAAGGCGTGAGTTGGGACCCCCTCAACGAATACATAGCAACTCAATCCTCCGATCGATCCGTACACATATACACCCTCAGAACAAAGGACGGGCAGTTCACTCTTGACAACCGGGAAGAACCCAAAAGAGTAGGGGTAAATTTGAAAATGGATTTACCCGGACGACGGATTTCTTCGAGCAGTCCTGCACCTCCCGACCCCGGTTTCCGCCCACAACTCTCAACAGAATCATTTGGTAATGCGGTAGGCTCCCCAGCACCTTCATGTCCAGGTACGCCAACATCTGTGGCGTTACCAATGAACCCGCCGAGTACCATCAGCCATAGCAGGAGATCCTCTTTTGGTGCGGCTTCCCCTGCTAGGTCCATGCGACGATCAGCATCACCAGCGCCATCGATGCCCTTACCAGCTGTTATGCCCATGGAACCCTCCCCAAAACCTTACACCAGCCTGGGAGTGAAGAATGCAAACATTTATGCCAATGACACACTGAAGTCTTTCTTTCGTCGATTAACTTTCACACCGGACGGCAGTCTTCTCTTTACCCCTGCTGGACAGTATCAGACGCAGCATCGTGGTTCCGACGAGTCTGCTAAGAATTCTTATGAGGTCATCAATACCGTCTACATTTACACAAGAGGCGGTATCAATAAGCCTCCTATAGCTCATCTTCCGGGGCACAAGAAACCTTCAGTCGCTGTCAAATGCTCGCCGATCTATTATGTCCCAAGAAAATCACCACCTCAGACAAAACATATCACGATTGATACTTCATCATCAGAGGATTTTGCGAATGCCCTACCAGAACCTGCGGTTGCTCCCAAGTCACCATCACATTCTGTCATGGAACCACCTCCATCACCGAGATCAAAGCCCCTGGAAGAGGAGGCGAGTGCCTCGACGCCAGGCCCCACAATGGCGTTTTGCTTGCCGTATCGCATGATGTACGCGGTTGCAACAGAAGATTCAGTTCTAGTGTACGATACGCAGCAACAGACTCCCCTGTGTGTTGTGAGCAATTTGCACTGTGCGACATTCACAGACTTAACCTGGTAAGCGGAGCCCCCTGCCTTCTATGGCTACTTTCTAACACAATCCTAGGTCAAATGATGGCCTTACATTACTCATGACTTCATCCGATGGTTTCTGCTCCACATTGACCTTTGCCCCTGGCGAGCTTGGTCAGATATACACCGGCGAAGTTCCAACAGCCAAACACCCGACCCTCAGCAGCACTGCTGTCACGTCTCAAAATACACCGATGGCCACGCCTACCTCGATCATAACCCCACCATCTCCCTTTCCACCCTCCAATCACCAGCGTACCTCATCCAACCTCTCAGTCGCCCCTTCACCCCCTCCGGCGCCTGTTGGCCCAGCCGTTCAGCCTTCCTCACCCACACGCTCGAACTCAACCTCTTCGATAGCAACACAGTCCTCATACGCCAATCCTCCGGCTGGAACGATCATTAGCAATCCACCGCTCGTAGCGGGTAGTCTCCCAGGTATCGTGGCGGGGAACACAGGCCTGGGATTTATGTCCAGCATTCCGATGACGACACCACCACAGACACCGAGGAGTACAACAAGTAGCGTCGGTGGGGTCAAGAGGGATGCTTCCGAGAGTGAGAGAGAGGACGGCGGGCAAGATAAGAAGAAACGCAGGATAGCGCCTACTCTAGTGAGCAGCGACCAGAATCCGGAGTCGAGCAACGGATCCGCGACATAGAAGGAAATGCTGAATAATTTTCACCTTTGCTCTGTATTAATTCTCAATGATGGTGTTTGGGGGTGGGGTAAAATTGGCCAGATCTGGTGTCTATGCATTAGCGGGTGTTCACGGTCTGTGATCTAAAGACTGGACACCATCGCTTCAGGTTTGGATAGGGATGGATCTGTGCTGTTAGTGTAATTATCACCGCATTGTCTAGGTAGGCTGGGGGAGCTGGAATATAACAACATAACGCATTAATTTTGGCCCTTGACTATGAACATAGTTAGCTATTTCTATATGTTGCGATCAAAGCAGCTTGCATTCGACATACAGTATTTGTAGCTAAAATCCAACTCTAGACTAGGGTAGGTATATATAGCGAACTGAGGCGCATCTCATGGTGGAAAGGTCAAGTCAGAATTACAAGTATACTTTTACAATACTCGTACAATCAACAAACTGAACACGGAAGTGATTCGCAGGGGACGAAAAAAAAAAAAAAAAAAACGTACAACAGCTTTATTCAGGGGTTCCCTCTCTTTTGCGTAGGAGACTCGCGAGGCAAAAAGAGGCAAAAATTAAAAAACATACAACAGCAGGTATTCGCTGGTGGTCACCCACCCAACTACTAATTTGCCGATCTGAAGCTTGAGTATGGCAGAGCGGACGGGATGCCCTATTTTCTTCAGTCTGTGGTCGTATGTGATAGCTTTTAGGTTATTTGTATACATATACCTTGTAAGGTAGGTACCTCTTATTTCTCGAATGATGAGAGAATGAGAGAATGAGAGAATAAATACTAGAATAGATGACGAGGATTCTGAACCCTCCACGTCCTCTCTTTTCACGTCATATGTAATATCATCAGCATAAGTACAATATGGACTACTTAAGATTGCATGCATCTATCTACATTGTTTTGCGGCAGGACGAAACTGATTTCAGTCGATGGCGGGAGGGGGGGGCTCGGCTAACCCCTATTTATTTCCCTTTTCGAATTGCGAATTGTATGGGGAAAAGGGAGGCGTGTGAGATTTGCATGCATTAAGATTTTGGGTAAATAGAGCGCTTATTGTTGGAGTTATAGCGGATCTTCCTTAGTAGAAGAAAGTCAGTCGATTGAGTTGTCCTGAGATGCATTGTCGGGAGCTTAGATTGAAGAACTTGATCGCTGCTTGAAGTACCCTGGTCCTAGATGTCCTGAAAAGCCTCTTAAACCTTTGCCCTCTGTATCTCAAACACTCTCCACATCATCCGACTTAGAGATCCTAACCCCCCCTCTTTCTGAGGAATCTTACTCAACGCCATCATCAACTTCGGCCGCTGCCTCCAAAACTCTTTATATCATACGCTCCTGGCGCCACCTCTCCCCCCCCCCCCCAAACAAAATCGTTCATACACCTTGATCAATAAAGACATCAACCATAGTAAATAAAGTTGTTTCCATATCGATGAAGTAAAGAAAGGAAATAATACTTAATCAAAGGAATCAAGGATCCAGTATTCGAGCTTATCGAAGTCTGGACAAGGAGGAATTCTCAAAACCTAAAAATATATGATATCGACCCCACCCCACTGTTTTTGTCCAAAAAAAAAAAAAAAAGAGAAATAAGAAAAAACCCCAGAGCATAAAACGCCCCATGCGAACTCTAAGAAAGCCCCCCGAAATCCAAAAAAGAAGAACGAAAAACCAAAAGAAAATTAAACTGAAGGTTCTCCCTCGGGTGGGCTCGAACCACCAACCTCTCGATTGCAAGTTGTTGTTTGCACAAGCTTAACAGTCGAACGCGCTAGCCAATTGCGCCACGAGGGATGATTGTTTGTTGGCTTGTTGTTGCGACGATTTTCAGTATTGAGCATTAAGGTAAACCGTTATCGCCTATCGCATCTAGACACAGTTGTGTGTAAGCCTTGCTGGACCATCTTTTTTCAATATTTTAAATTGTATTTTTGTTCTTCTCGAGATTCTGATGTAGGAAGAGAGAGGAAGGTGTGTTCAAGGGCCTTGTGGAGAGATGGGTAGGTATCGGACAGTGTCCCTTTTGTTGTGATTCTGTTTGGGTGAGGGGAGCTCAGCGTGAGGATCATTTCACTTGGATTTAGGGAGCCTGTCTTTCATGTATGGTGTGTTAATTTTTTTTCCTTTCGTGACCTTTTTATTACTTGAGTTTTATTTTTTTCACTTGCATCTTCGTTTTGCTTTTATTTCGAGGGCCGCGTGTGTGAGATGGAGCTTCAGGAATCAATCAATTATAGACCCTGAATCTTCTGTGCCAACCACCTGCTTCCACTTCAACAACCAACAACCAGCCATGATTCGAGATCACTTTGTCTGCCATGTACTTCACGCATAATCAATGATCGTTGTTTTCATTACTACTATAATACAAGTCTTTATCGGATACACATGACAACCTCACACCCTCTTTCCATCTCCCATCCTGCTCGGCGTCACAGAATCATCAATTCATTTCGAACATAACCTAGACGAACACCCTTACAACATCAACCTTCTGACAGGTAGGGTTCTCCGGCCTCTGGTCCCCCATCACCCACGCCAGCGTCTGGTACGTGTAGCCCGCATTCGTGGTGCACGCGTACCAGCGATAGTACAGCGCCGGGTTATACGGGCTGCCAGACGCGATCTGTCTATCATCGAGATAGCCCGGAATGGCCAACTTATTCGCAGCATCGAACGCGACCTCCTGCGAGTTTTCTCCGGGGGTGAACAGCGGCACCGCGACGTTCGAGACCGGGTTGTAGCTGAGTTCCATGGGCGACGAAACGTTGAAGTTGCCCCCGCGCAGCTCGTAGGTCAGGATCCCGACGACGCCGATTTTGGGGTCGGGCGTCGACGCGCTCGAGTAGTTGAAGTTGTATTGCGTGGCCGGGGCCCCGGCGACTGCGCTGCCGTAGCAGAGGCCTTCGATGGCGGCGCCTTCGTGGCAGGGCACGAGGGTCGATCCGTTGATGGTCGCGTTCTGAGAGTGCAGGACGAGGGTGAAGGGTGCGGATTGGTTTGTGAATTGCGCGGTGGCTTGGGAGGCCGCGAGGGCTAGGAAGCCCGCGATGAACGAGGCCCTCATACTGATTGGAGATCTGATAGGGGATAGGAGAACGAGTGTGAGGATTCTGGCTTGGATAAAGAGAGACTCGATGATCTTGCAAGAGACGCAGAGGACGTAAGTGGGAAAGATACTCGCCCTTTATACAAACCGCCTCCTTTCTCGATCTTGCTCCGTATTCATTTGTTTATACCTTACTTATTATTACTTGCTCTTAGGTCAGTCGGCACTGGGAAGGGACAGCTCGCCCCCTAACAATGCGGGGGACCGAAGATCGTACCGTCCAGTCGATCCGCAATGACGTTCAGACCTCGTATTCGACGGGGGTCAGCCCCTTCAGGTTAGAGGAGAGCACTTTAGAGTTGAGTCGAGCTGATTTAGAACAGATCAGGAACATATCTTCCGTGCTCAAGATCATGGGTCTATTTGGTAGAGGCTACCTTAAGGCTTATGTTCATACGATATTATCGTAATCCTTGGATAGCCGCCTGACTGTACTGCACGAGTTACAGTAATTGACAGAGGAGGCTTCTGCGCCAAGTACGATGTTGTGGCGTTCGGATACTTGAATTCAATAGTCTACATATGCTTATGCTTATGTACTCCCCGTATTGACAGCACCAGCTGAGAGCTGACGAGTGGCAAACTCTCTGCGAGGCTAAAGTATCAATCAGCCTTGCATCGCCGTTTGGTACGCTGCGGCTCCTTGAACCCGTATCCTTTTTCTTCGCTGTACTCCCATTCGCGCAGCTGTCCCGTATATGCTAATAACACTCCATCGCTGCTTATTATATCGCTCATAGTCCTGTCAGTAGTAGCACCTCACCGTCAAAACACGAACCCGTTGAACCATTCCTACGGAGTACCTATTGATTCTCTACCCTGAATTGAAGGGTCGGGTGGAGCTTTGGCGCCAAGCCACTGCCGCAGGCCGGCCTTTGCAACTTGAGACCCTGAGCGCCATCTAACAACCCTAGCCCGCTCCGTTCCTGAACGATCTCCGGCTTTCTGTGGAGAGGTACTTGACATCACAGAAGAGCAGTATGCGCCATAAGATCTGGAGATAGATTAAAGGATCATAAGTCCCACCATAAAAGCTACTACCATGACGTGCGAAACCCAGAGATATATTCCGATACCTCCTATTTTTTGATAGACTGACAGACATGCTTATTCCAAGTCATTAAGGTTATATGTGAAAAAAGATTGGTTCCGGCATTTCGCTGGCTTCTCTCCCACTTATCGAAAATCCCAGATGCCTCTTTCAACATCCTGGCTAACTCTTATCCTAAACCCCGTGCCCTTTTCTCTCTTCGTCCTCTCTGTCTCCCTGCTAAGACGGCCATCTATCCAAGCGCTTTCGACACTTCTCCTTGGACTCCGTACAGAACTCAGCACCTGGTCCAACTTAAAAGTCTCCAAACTAGTCATAGTCCCGTTGAATTCTTCCTTCTCTTGTGGAGCGCGCGTTCGTCGTTTTGAAAAGCGTCTTCTAGTTTGTTTGAGAAGATCATTGATATCATTGAGCATCAGCGCTATGACGATCAAGGGTATGGAGACGGCAAATCCAATCCCGAACATGTATTTTGATACATATCCGAGAGGCAGACTTGAAGTACCGTCCGTAGCCCGTGGGAATTCTTCGATATTGATCGCAAAGAAAGCAGCGACGAAACTCAGTGGCAAGAACACAATCGTGACTATCGTGAACACCATGATGGTTCGACTCTGTTTCGCTGTTCCGGCAGCTTGATCGCGTGCAAAACGAGCTTCGAAGGCATTTGCGTGTTTCTGTTTCAGATCCAGCATGTCAGTGATGGAAGAGTAGATTCGCTCTGCTTGCTTGTCCATGCGCTCGATGTCTTTCAGATGCGTATCAATTGTCTTGAGCTGATCCCGAAATCTCTTCTTCACCTCTCTTTGGGACTGCTGCTCCTCTAGGAATACATCACAGATGGCGCTTTCCAAGTCCTGGAGCACCTGCTGCTGGTCTTCGAATACTTTGGAAATCATGTTCAGCTCGTCGCGGATATCTTTCGTTTCAGCCAAGAGGTCGGTCTCCTGGCCTATGTCAAGGAGCTTGTCGAGGAAGAGAGGCCCACGCATGTATTCTTCATACATATTGTCATCTCTTTCAGTGGCTCTTCTTTTTTCTTCTTCTGGGTTAACCGAATCACTCTCGAAATATCTTGAAAAGCGACTAGGCCGCCGATGCTGCTGTAGCCATGCCGAGGCTTGGGCGGAAGCCTGATTAAACTCTTTAAAAAGCACAGTTTCCCGATCGGTCGCGTCGCCTATGCTGGATTCAAACATATCAAGGAACTCGTACTCGTCATTGCCCATGCGATGTCGATCGAACACCCCACTGCACCGGTTAGTGACTATCATGGCAAGATCATAGACAGATATGACGGGGTCTCGTGTTTTAGAGTTTATATCTTCGATGATGCTATCCAGAACGTTCAATGGATCGTTCCGGGGTTGCTGCCACCTTTGACCAAAACATGTAAGCATGAGATTGGGACCAAGAATCCACATCCACAGCTGGTCAACCATGACAATCTTGGGATCACAAGAATCTAGGTCCTTGCCCTGAGTCTGGTATCGGTAGACGACCTGATCCTGATCTCGGCTCTCGGTATCAATATTGTGGTAGTAAAACTGGTCCAAAGTGCGGCGCACATGGAGTGAGACTGTAGAAGTAGCGAGATGAGCCCGGATGAGCATCTCGTCGTATGTTTTAGCTTTCCCGAGACGACGCCGAGACGGAGACCGCATTTGCTGCGCTCGCTTGATGGCTTCTTGCATTTCCTGTTGACGTCTCTTGGTTTCGAAATGTAAGAAAGGCATGAACGCAAAAATATTGCCCTTGGGATTTTGGGTGGGCTCTCTGCGTCCTGAGGAGCTTGGAGGGCAGGGATAGCGAGACCCGTGTTGGTGGCCTAATTTGGGACGTTGATCTTCGGTTGATGCCACTGTTCCAATTTTAGGAGATTTATTCCCTTTGGCGTTGACCTTCTTCCCTTTCCCCTTCGGTGTACTTTTGGCATGATCTTTCGACCCATCATGAGTGGAACGACTATTCTCCTCACCTCTGTCTTCACGCGACGTACGGCGCTTCAATGAGGTTTCGGAAGTCCCATATTCTGGTCTACCGTTAATGACAATAGTAGGTTGCCCCTGCTCTTGTTCTGTGTGGGGATCAACTGTTTCTTTCGCCTTCCGCGGCGCTCTTGGAGTGCTCTGACACAAAGGTCTCATGAAATAAGAGTGACTCTGCTGGCCCCGATGTTGATGGCTGAAGGATCTTTCTAAAGCTTTGAAGCCTTCTACATCAACTGTCTCTTCTTCAAGGAACAGCTTTGTTAAAAGAGCTTCAACCCAAGCTATATTGTTGGCCGGGAGGTGAATCCACCTGAACTTCGATGCCTTATCGCTAGGCAGAACTGTCATTGCAGGTTTTCGTGGATTGAGACGGTCCTGGCCATAAAGTAGCTCTAGATATAGGAATTAGTATCTGGGGAAGTATATGTCAGAATGAAGCAAGAGAATTTGGCAAAACATGGCGTAGGAGGCGACCCTGGAGCTCATTGGATAACCAGCGTATTTCTACCAGTTTTAACTTAGACTTAGCTCATATGTAGAACTTGAATGCTACGTTTGAGCATAATCATTGAAAAGCGCTAAATAAACGGAGCTTTTGCATCATAGGCCGCATTGTTCACAATGTGAGAAGAGATAGTGCATACCATAAACGGTTTTCTTTTCCACTCGATTCCCGTTGCGGAAATCTCCAAAATCTACGATAGTAGCACTGAAGCCGTTGCATGCGCCAAGTGCATCCTCAGATAGAGTGTCCACGTTTCTGAAGGGGACTAGGAGTTGGACGATCTCCTTCCTTTTGTGCTGAGCAGCTCGTAGAAAAGGCGTGAATCCAAATGCATCCCGTATCCCACGCTTGATATCTTTGCGTTCCAGGAAAAGCTTCACAACTTCCACATGTCCTCCTTGTGCGGCAAGATGAAGTGGGGATATTCCATTGAGAAGTTGGGCATTTATGTCAGCGCCAGCTGCCAGAAGGATGCGAGCAATATGCACCAGCCCTTTCTCACTGGCGGCGTGAAGAGGAGTCCACCCGCCATCGCTTTTCGCATTGACATCGGCTTGATATTGGAGAAGCATCTCAACAATATCATTTCTGTCATGGGCTGCTGCAATATGAAGACTGGTCTTGCCACGTATATCCACTGCATTGACGTTGGCTTTTGGATTCCTTGGTCTGGTAAGGAGTCGCTCTGCTAGGTGCAATTTTGCCAGGTTCGATTTCCCGGTGGCACCACAAGCCCAGTGGAGGGGTGTGCGACCAAGATGATCTTGACCGTCCGGTCCATCTATATGAATATCCTGATTCAATAGAAGCTGTATGATCTGATCTCCCCAGTCGCAATTCTTGTCTGCTGCCAAATTATGGAGAACATTCCTTCCTCGCTCATCTTTGCCATTCACGTCTGCACCCTTTGCGATGAGCAAGCTCAATATATGCCAAGCGTTCTTCCAAGCAGCATACATCAGCGCCGTGCGCCCCCTTTTGCCCCGCGTCTCGACATTCGCACCGTGTTCAAGGAGCAACTTTACAATCGCAATGTTGTTGTGCTCCACAGCGCGAAGTAGTGGAGAGAGCCTGTTTCCGACTACTGTATCTGGTGTCGCGCCTTGACTCAAAAGGTACTGTGTCGCGTTGACCTTGCCCTTCTCTGAACTTCGCATCAACCCGATCCCCAGAAAGTTCTCGTTCAGTTGTCCATTCTTCCGCGCCGCGTCGACAATCTGTCGCAGTAAATCCACATTGTCGTTTTCAGCTGCTCGGAGCAACTGGGGTTCTAGTCTTTCATTGTGGTCGCTGGACCTGGACCTCGATCGTGCCAGCATTTCGCCCGACCCCGTCGCCATTGTATAAGGCACATCCCTCGAGGGACTCGATGCTTGTGTCGCGATATGTAATGTTTCGCAGGATATCCGTCCAAGGGCCACCCGGTCTTGCGCGCAACTCAGCTTTCCGCACGTTGAAAGGTATATAGATGCTGGGATCGAACGATTCGAATCCCATGCATCTTGACTGCAAGCTGAGAATTTTAATGTAAGCCATTGCGGCTCAGCACTGACAAGGGTTGCTGCAATCAGAGGCTGGGGAAGTTTGGAGCTGCATAACCGCTGAAGATCTATTACCTACTTCATTGTCGCACGACGGTGTAGGCATATCATTAAGCGAGAGAGCTGGAAAAGGGGGAGGGGCTTTGGACGCTAGGTCCCTAAAGCATAAAGAGTCAGGTAGATAGAAATATGGATTGCGAGTCGGATATACATGGTCTTTCAAACATCGATGAGTTAACGTGTAGCACGAGGGTATTGAAGGCGAGGTGTATGTATAGATGTATTCGTAACCTAGCAAAAGCCTAGCTCTCATTATAATATCTACAAGCAATCCACCATCTTAACGCCCGTACAAAGCTACAAAGGCGTTGCTCTTTATGATACCGATACGCGTCCATTGCCAAGAACCAAAAAATTGTCGATATAGCCCATAGCCAGTCCTACAAGCTCTCTATAGCTTTCATCAAAACTTGTAAGTCCCTCTCCCCAACGCCTTCCTCACTCAAAGCCTCCTTCAGAACCCAGCTAACATCACTCTGCATACCAAGCGGAATATAACATCCAGTTCTAGCCTTCTCCAAACTCTCCTTTAGTCTGCTCGTATGTTCCCACTCCTTGGCCGCAACTTCGGCTCTATCAATGACTTTTGAAGGGATGCCGCACATCGCTGCGCAGTGCATTCCAAAACTACCTTCCGCGACACCGTCTTCGAGTTTGTATAAAAAGGTTATACGACGATTATCATCATCAACATGAATCTGCATTCTCTTGGCCGCAATTTCGGGATGGCCCGCGAATTCTGTGGCGAGGGAATGGTAATGAGTGGCGAAGAAACCGACACAACCGATGTGAGTAGCGACCTGGTGCAGCACAGCTTGAGCGACGGCAACGCCGTCATATGATGAGGTACCACGACCTAGCTCATCGAGAATTACGAGAGAGCGTGGTGTGGCTTCTGCCAAGATCTTTTTGGTTTCGGAGAGCTCGACAAAGAAGGTACTCTGGGCGGCGAAGATGTTGTCGTTTGCACCGAGACGGGACATGATCCTATCGACGGGAGTGAGGGTTGCAGAAACGCAAGGGACGTAACACCCAATCTGGGCCATGATCACGGCGATGCATGTCTAGATAGCGTTAGCCAAAGGCACTTTTAAGAAGAGTAAGATAGCATACCATTCGCAATATCGTTGACTTCCCAGCAGCGTTGGCTCCAGTCAACAAATTGATATTCGCGTCAGCCCCACCAAGCTTCACATCGTTGGGGATGAAATCAGTGACATTTGGGAGGACGCAAGGATGTCGAAGCTCTTCGAACTCAACGACACTTCGCTCGCTATCTACGAAAGTTGGTCTGCAACTTGGTTCACCAAGAGCAGCCGATGCAGCAGCAAGACTGATTAGGCAATCAAGTTGCGCAATGATCTTGACAGCTGCCAGCCAAGTTTTGTAGTCCTGATCGAAGCGTGCATAGAATCTCCCAGCAACTTGTTTCACAATCTGGCTGTGTGTCTCTTGCGCTTCCTGAAGATCACGGACGAGATCCGTGAGCTCCCCGAAATAGTAACGCTTGACGCCGGCGGCAGAAGACATCATTTTCCAGTCCTTAGGCACTTTGATGCTCGTCGGGACTTCAAGCTGATAGACCTCTTTCCCAACATTTTTGAATGCGATCTTTTTAGAACCAAACTCACGTTGCTTGCTCTTCAGCAAGGCATCCAACTCGCCCTCCAGCTCTGCAATACGGTCTTGACTAGCATCAAATTCCTCCTCAATCCCGCGTTCGGGAACCAGGATCTTGAACTCCCTGGCCTTTGATCGATCAAAGGCTGTCTTCCACCATTCCAGTGGCCGAGCCAGATCCGGCATAGTAGCAATCAGACGATCGACAATACCACTACCACCACCGAACGCACCAAGAAGACTCATCGTGTACTCGATCTGCTCAAAGCCTTCAAGGACTCGAACAAAGTCATCCGGTTTGCACACTCCAGCATGGATTCGCGAGATCAAACGTTCTAGATCAGGCATTCTAGTCATAGATGCTGTAAATTGGTCACTCATGGTGCGGTCTGCATTTAGCATATCGACAGCATCCAAGCGTTCATTGATCCTCTTTGCATCAGCCAAGGGGTGGCATACCCACTGACGGAACATTCGCTTGCCGAATGGTGTGACGCAGCGATTGAGCAGTGTGAAGAGTGTTCCCTCTTGACCACCATCGAAAGTGTTGGCAAACACCTCAAGATTGATGAGAGTCTGCCCGTCGAGTACGAGCGTGGTGCCTTTCTGGATTGGGCTATACCAGGAGAAATTGCCTTGCGTCAAAAGATCTCGCTCCAACTTGAGGGTCCTCAGGTACTGCACTAGGGCGCCGAAGGCAGACATGAGAAGCTCCTTATCTTTGGCTTCCTGAAGCTTCTCTGGCCAGACTTCTTCGCCGCCAGAGTCGTCAGAGAGAAAATACCCACTGCAACTCAGCTCACGTCGAGTAACGTCGGCATCCCAGAACTCTTTTCCGGGCTTGAGATGGTTCCAGATGGTCGTGGGACTGGTATTATTTTTCAATATTCGTAGAGCCTTGGCAGAAATGCAAGATTTCTCTAGCAAGACTTCCTGTGGCCTGATCTGAGCAACAAACGTCTCAAACTTGGTCAGGTCTACATCGTCAGCAAATTGTGACAGGAAGAACTGTCCAGTAGCGGTGTCAACAAAGGCAATGCCAAATGCTGGTAAATCATCGACTGTTGATTCCTTGATGGCAACACAAAATGTTGCCATATCATCCTGAAGCATGCTACCCTCGACCAGGGTTCCTCCAGTAAGCACGCAAGCAAGTTCCCGTTTGATGATCTTGTCAGGCTTCTTCTTACCCTTGGCAAGAGATGCTTGGCTATCCTCCCGTTCACGCATTTCTTTGCCCAGGGCTGATTCGCATTGATCGACTCTGGCGATTTTATATCCCTTCGCAACAAACTGATTTGCCCAGTGATCCAAGGACATCTCGGGAACTCCCACCATCCGCATGTTGACCCTATCCGTGAGCTTGAGATCGAAAAGCTGATGGCCAATTGTGGCATCATTCTCGTATAACTCGTAGAATTTCCCTTTTTTGAAGAAAACAATAGTATCCCAGAACCGTTGCTTGATCTCCCAGTACTGCTTTTCGAAGGGCGAGAAATTTGCCCAAGCATTGGGGGGAATATAGACTGTTCTGGGGTCATAGTCTGGGTGCTCAGGGGGGTGTCGGTCCATATCTTGAATGTTGGCTAACCAAGGATATCTCTTTTCCGGCTCAGATACATGGGCTTTCTCTTTGACTGTCTTCTTTGTCGAGTTCGGAGTCTTCGGCACGTTCGTAGATTTCGGCTGAAGTGGCTGCGTATTATCTGGGTCGTACTTCCACTGTTGCGCTGTTGATGCTTCCGGGATTTCCATATCTTCATCTTCGTCATTGTCTTGGTAAGAGGTCGGCGGAGAGACATTAGAGCGTTTCCGGGATGTTGCGGTAGAAGTAGGACGCTTTCGTTTCTTCGATGGCTTTTTCGGGGCGTCTGAATCATCATCTACCACGAAGTCGTCCATATCGTCTAGAGAATATTAACACCTGTGTTCGAGAGCCATACAAGCCACCCGGTATTTACCCACCATCATTGTCATCATCAGCACCATCAAGACCTGCGACGAAAGCATCATCCTCATCTTCGTCGTCCTCAATAACACGTTTCCGCCGTGTTCTTCGGTTCTTGATTCCTGCGGGGTCGAAGGCATCATCATCCTCGTCAGAAGATTCAGCATAGCTGATGGCTTTTTGCTTAGCCTGAAAAAAGGAGGTGTTAGCTGACCCTCTTCGTAATGAGATAGGTATCTAGAGATGTACCTTGCGTGAAGGACTGCTTCCAAGAACATTGCCGTTGACAACCTGCGCGACATCACTCTTAGCAGGTGTCATAGGCGATGGCAGACCAGTGTCCTCTACCTCTTCTAAAACCCCTCCAATACCATTCTCCTGCGAGCTAGGAGGGCCCATGGCGTCACTGCTGGGGACAGGCGTGATGTTGTTGGCAGTGGCCTTCTTGAAGGCGGGTTTCTTGACCGGCACATTCGATTTGTCGACTCCCTTGGCTTCGCCATTGGTCTTCCGAGCACCTGTTGAGGAACCCGGAGTGCCATTGGGTGCTTTCGAAAAGAAACTGAGGATCGATGCATTTTTCGATGACCCGACGCTCGAGACCTGCTTCTTCGAAGACGAGGGGGCCGGTGTCCCTTCAGATTTCTCTTTCTTCATTGTGGTTGCAAAAGATAGGAATGGATAAAAGGTATATGGGAAAGAGTAGAATCGAGGGAATCACGCCCAGATGTATGTCTATAGGGGCGAGAGCGCGAATCCTGGGCCCTGGAGACGCGTTGATCTGGCGAGCGCGTTCAATCGCGTAGCACCCTTTACGGAGTAAGGGGCTATAGCCTGACCGGATTATTAATATATTAATAATACAGATACCGGCTACAGCTATACATTTCTCGAATTTGGTGTTTTACAACTAGAATGCGATTACTATCGAAATATTAAAAACAGGCTCGATCCAGATAAAGCAACAAGAGGCCGTAAGAAGGCAAAATAGCTTCGTACTGAGGAATGCTAATCGTTATGAAATTCTTTGGCTTCTGTCGACTTATAGCGAACGCGAAGTCGACACCCTCAAGCGAGGTCGATGTTACAGTACTTAGACAAAAGTTCTCGGCTATTTAACCAGGACCCCGCACCCTAACAGTACACCTAATATTAATTAATGTATATCTCTCTTAGTTTACATAGTAATTCTAATATAAATACAGAGAATTAATCATTAGAATCAGGGCTATTTTCTGCCCCTAAAAAATCAACAGGTTAGCCAGAATTGACTCTAATATTTAGTATACTACCTGTTAGCCGTAATACAGGCCTAGATCCTCCTCTCTATACTCTTAAGTAGCGCGTTAAACAGACTCTAATCTAGAGTATCCTAGGCAGCCTATAAACAGCTTTTAAGACGCTATCTAGTATGTTCGGACTTAGATTTGTCTACTATAACGTCTAGAAACATCTTATAGACCCGGACTTTAAGCTACTACTAGACGTGTTTAATCAGGTTTAGATTAGGCGAATAAGGAGGCTAATCCGTTAACACAAGGATCTTATAGTCTGTAAACTACTCTTGTACTTTACGCGCTATATATATTAGAGCGTTATCTTACATAAATTCGTACCCTGCCTTAAGGGTTTAAAAGATAGGGGCCACCTCTACCTTAAGAACCTTGTTAGGTGTGCTAACACGTGAAATTATAATAGCTTAGAAATCAAGTATAGGGTAACTACGTGCTATAACTAAGGTAATAATAGGCATTAAGGAGTATAAGAATAGAGGGTAGAGAGGAGAAAGAAAGGGGGTTTAGAGATTAGTCTATAGTTAAAGTAGTAATATACCTTTAAATATACTACAACTATCTATTAACTCTTACCTCTTTTACTCTATAAAAATATACCTAACATTCTAATCTCTTTTCTTTACTAAAAGGTTATAGACTATTAGAGTAAGAAGTAATAACGTAGACATAACAAATAAACCTTAACAAGACGTAGGCCTCTTCTTAAGTAACTCTTTAGAATACCTCTTTATAGACAGATAGTAGTAAACCTAGTACGACCTTCTAAATATTAATAGAAATCCTTTTCTTAAGTAAGACTAAGTTAAACAAGAGGATTACTTAAGTAAGGGTAGAGTAGTGCCTTAAGTAAAAGTAAGACTACCTTATAGTACTTAAGAGAAGAGAGGCTCCTTTAATAAACCTATATAAATTTAATAACCCTCTTAAAGTAGAACGGCCTTTCTAGTAAACCTATATTAAAGAAATAAAGAAGAGCTATTATAATACTCCTTTTATTCTACTAAAAAACAAGATATATACTAGTATTACGACCTTCTTATTTAACTAAAAAACAGAGTTTAATACCTATCTAAAGAGTTATCTAATAGATACTAAACGCGTTAGTACTATAGTAACAGTACTAAAGGATTATATTAAAGAGTACTAAAAGTCTTTTATTTTCTTAGAAAAAAGTAGATTAGTTCTTAATATAACTTAAGAAAAAATAAAGGCGTAGCTCCTTTATAGTATTATAGATAAGAGTACTTACTTTCTTAAAGTAGTATTAAAACTCTAAATATTAACTTAAAACTAAAACAAGACCTTTAGGAATTTCCTTTAATAGTATAACTCTTTAGTTATTAAACTTAGCTACGCTCTCTTAAAGATATTCTGTATCTACCTTTTTATTAATTATTTAAAGCCTAAGTTAAGGGCCTATATAGTAAGTAGTAGGGTCTTAAATACCTTTAAGGTAGTTAAGGTAGTAGCGTTAAGAAAGAAAACTCTTATTTAGATAAGGTAATAAAAAGGCTCTTATAGAGCCCTTTTAATATTATACTATACTAAGAAAGGCTCTTCTTATAATCTAAAGACCTTATCTATACTAGTAAACACGTAAAGAGTATCTAGTAGCTAAACTTTAAATACGTAAAGAGACTCTTCTAGTATTATAAAAACCCTTTTAGTAAGTAAGGTATAAAGTAACTACTACTAATACTAGTAGCCTAGTTATTAGGCAAATTCGTACTTACTATATAAATACTCTATATATAGTTAATCTAAGTATACTTACGCTTAGTACCTTAATAAGGCCGGTACTTTAGGCACTAATACTACGCTAGTAGCCTACTACGTTACGCCTAAATAATAAAAAGAGAGGCGACCCTTAATAAGTATTTAGGTAAAGATACGTATTAAGGGTAGCTAGGTAGCTATACTAGCCTTACTAGACTTAAGAGTAGAAGTTAACCTTATCTACTTATAACTATTAAGACAAAAGGTACTATAGTAACTTAATAATTATATTATAGTGTCCTTACTATTCTAGAAAACAATAATAAGCTTTAGATTATATAATCTGTTTATTAAGGCCTAAGATAACTACTTAATAGTAAGGCAACATTAAGGTAGATTTGTCGTTACTAATATTAAGGACTTAGATATTATACTTAGATTTCTATAGCTAGAGGCTATAGACCTAATTGTTTTATAAAAGACCTAGACGTTTATATACTTTACGTTATCTTTAATAGTCTAGCTATATATAATAAAGAAAGAAATTAAGAAAGTAATAAAAAAAGCTTAATTTATAATTATAGCGATAGTATAACTAATTATAGTTAACCTAGAATCCCTAAGTAAAAAGGAACTATAAGAAGAACTATAAGAAGATAGTAAGGCTATAGTAAGCTTACCTAGTAAGTACTAATAATTTATAGACGTCTTCTCTAAAGAAAGGGCTAGATTACTACTTATAATTAATAGCCTTACTTATATAATAGACCTTAAAGGAGACGTAGTACTACTATATAGCTAAATCTACTTACTTATAGAGGTTAAGCTAGGTATCTTACGTAAATATTTAGATAACGCCTTAGTAAAAGGATAGATCTATCTAAGTAAGAGCCTTACTAGTACTCTAATACTATTTGTTCTAAAGAAAGAAGAGAAGCTATAACTCTACGTTAACTACTAGGTATTAAATAGTATAACTAGAAAGAACTAAGCCCTTATTCTATTAATTAAGGAGATCTTTAACCGGCTGTTATAAGCCCGCGTCTATACTAAGCTTAACCTATATAAAGTGTACTATTAAGTTTATATTAAGGCTAATAATAAGTAGAAAACAGCTTTCTAGTACTAATATAGCTACTTTAAATACTACGTTATACCTTTTAGGCTAGTAAACGTACTAGCGACCTTTTAGTCCTTTATTAATAAAGTACTAGAGAATCTTATTAATAATATTTATATTATATATCTTAATAATATCCTTATCTATTCTATAAATAAAGAAGAGTATATATAGTATGTTTACTACGTCCTTAAATGTCTCTAATAATATAACCTTTATACTAACCTCTTAAAGTACAAGTTTAATATAAAGTAAGTAAGTTTCCTAAGATATATTATTAACTTATAAGGAGTTTGTATTAAACTTAAGTGTGTCTTTATAATCTAAGAATAGCCTATTCTTATAACTATAAAAGACATTTATATCTTCTTAGGGTTTACTAGATTCTATAAGTACTTTATTAAGAATTATTTAAAGATTACTATACTACTAATAAATCTCTTTTAAGGTAACGTTACTAGTACTATTACACTAAGTTCTAAAGCCTTAAAAGCCTTTTATAAGCTACGACTAGTCTTTGTAAAGGCCCCTTTTCTACGTTACTATAACCCTAAACTACTTACGTATATAAAAATAGATATATCTGTCTATACTATTAGTACTATTCTTTTATAGCTATAAAAAGGCCGCTAGTACCTTATTATATTTATTTCTAGAAAGTTAAAGAGGCTAGAGCTACGCTATAATACCTTTAATACTAAGTTAATAGCTATTATTAAGGCTTTTAGGTTATAAAGGCCGTACTTAGTATATATATAAAGTTTAGTATTAGTTTTAATAGATTACCTAAACTATTATTACCTTTTTATAAAGCCGAAGTTATTATAGTAATAAGCTAGATAGCTAGAAGAACTTTCTGTCTTTAACTTTAAGATTAAATATAAGAAGAGTAGCTAAAACCTTACTAATAAGTTATTACGACAGCCTGACTTATAAGATCCTAATAAGTAATTAGAGGTATAACAAGCTCTCTTAGTAACTTTTCTTAACAAATTCTAGGTAAACGTAGTTACCTTAGAAGCTATTAGTCTTACTATAAGGCTTGTTTAAAACTAAGCTTTTATTCTTTTTATTCTTTTAATTCCTTTTATTCTTTTAATTTCTTTAATTCTTTTTAAAGGTCTAGTAACTTCTTTAACGTATACTATCTTAGTAGAATCGCTCTAGCGTAAGAGGCTAGACTTATACCGGCTAGTAGACTAAGGTAATCGTAGGTCTTAAGGACCTTATACTTTTATTACTAGAGTATTAAGTCGTAAATTAAACACTCTTATACTAGTAAAGAACTCTACTTAGAGTTAGGCTAGTAAGAGTAATAGCTAGGTAATAGTAATATTAACGTTACTACTATTACTATTAGAAGCCCTTTATAACGTATAGTAAAGAGACGCCTTTATTACTAATAAAGAGTAAAAGAAGTAGTAAGGTAGCTAAGGTACTACTAGGTCTTTATAGACATTTAAAGATAATATGCTACTATAGTATTATAGACATGTATATATACCTAATAATCTAGGCTTATATAAAGAGTTACTAAAGCTTTTTTATAACGTACTTACTATAAAGTACTAGAGAGTTAGTAAAACAAAGAAAAGGCTTTCTTAATTCTTTTTTTAGCTAAGTCTTAATAAAGACGTCTACTATTATATTTTTACTTACGCTATCTATTAAAGAATAAAGGTAAGAACCTATCTACTATATAGTAAGTTAGCCCTACTCTTTATTCCTTTTAAACCTTAGTAAGAGATCTTACTTAACTTTATTACGTAGCTACCTTACTCTTATAATATAGTAAGTAAACTATATAACTTAATACTTGTTATTATAGACTAATTTACAAAATTTTCCTTATATATTCTAATAACTAATTGTCTTACTAGTAATAGACTAGTGTCTCTCTTAATATATTACGTTATATAATAATTTAGAATTCTAGATAGTATTGTCTTAGACTAAGGCTCTCTCTTTATAAGTAAATTCTAGAGTAGTTTCTACTAGTACCTAGTAACATTATAGTAACTTAGTACTACTTATTACTTATAAATAGATAAGTAGACAGAATAGTAGAACTAAGCTATTAAGTATTACCTTTAAACTTACTATAGCTTTATATAAGACAACTAGGTAACTAAGCTAGATCTTACTAAATTTATATATAATACCTTATAGTACTCTATAATAAATATAATACTATTGTATATACTATATAAGTACTAGCCGTAAGGTCCTAAGGACATACCCTTAAACCGGTTAAAGCTAGTAGAGGTACTAGTAGCTAATATACAAGTAGAGTAGCTATAAAGTAGCTATAAAGAAATTATTATATTCCTTTAGTATTCTTAAAAATAGTATAAGAAATAGTATAACTAGAACTAAAAAAAGATTTTATTTAAAAAGAGAGACTAAGTACTCTTATTAACAAAATACTTAAAGTAACGTTAACTCTCTAGGAAATTCGTAGATAAGTATATTAGCCCTTACTAAATTAAAGACGTTATTAGAGACTATAGACTTACTTATAGACTACGCCTTCTTTTATTAGTACGGCTATATCTTACCTTTCTAATTATAAGCCTAAAACCTTATAAGGTATAAGAAGGTAAAGTCCTTATAAGCCTAATAGACATCTTAGTCTTAGATAAAGAAACATTTAAAGTAAAAGCTATTCTTAACTATAAAGGCCTATAAAGAAATAGACTCTATCTTATAAAATAAAAAAAGTATAACGATTTAGAAAACTTATAAGAACTATAATAAAACCTTAATAATAGCCTACTTTTACGTAAATATAAACAAATATATTAAGATAATTGTTAAAAAGGTATAATATTACTAGTATAGTTATAGTAACGTAAGTACGACTTTTATATTTATTATATAAAAACTTAAAAACCTAAGTATCTTAAAAAAAAAACACTAAACTACTCTTTTACTAGTAAATACCTTTTAAAGCTCTACTAACTTTATTATTATATATCTTAAAAAAAGAAAAAAGAAAGAAATCTAAAGTACGATCTTACTTATTAAAGACACTTTAACCTTTATTTGTTTATTATTTGTCCTTATTACTATCCTTTCTACTATTATTTTCTTTATTATTATTATCTTTTATAATATCCTTTACTTTCTTACTTCTTTTAGATCTCTATAAATCGTACGCGTACTACCTTTAAGTTAGTAGTAACTTAGTATTAAGGTAAAGGATACTTATAACTTTCTTAAAATAAGACACGTACTTTTTAAAGATAGTAATATAGTCCTACTATACTTATATTACCTTCTCTATAAGCTAATTATAATAGTCTACCTTTATATTTGTAGTTATAGTAAACTTATTATAAAGCTCTAACTAATAAGTAATTTTTACTAGATAACCTAACTTTTACTTTATATACTCTTTCTTATCTACTTTATTACTATAAAGCCTCTTTTCTACTAATATTATAGTCTAAGACTTTAAATGTTAAAGGCTCTTCTTTACTAAAGTTTAGGCAGCCTAAATTATAGCTTATTTATATTAGCTTTAACTTTACTATAAATAATAGACTACTTTACCTTATCTTTTTTTATAATTACCTTTTAAAGTTTTATTCTTTTAGCTTAGAGAGTTAAAATAACCTAGTAACGTTAACAAAGCTATAATATAAAAGTATTACTTTAAGAAAGGTTATACTTATAAAAATATACTCTTTCTTTAGAGTCTTATAGTATATGTACTTTACTAATATAGCTACTATACTATTAGGCCGTTACTCTTTACTAAAAAGGAATACTTATAGTTATTATCCTTATACTTTAGTAAGGTACCTTATAGGTCTTATAAAGCTATTTAGTTTAAGTATTACTTATAAGCTACTAAGCGCTTTGTTAGCGCTATGTTGTCGTTAGTAGTTTAATTAAGGTTTATCTAAAGTTTGTTAAAAGAGTCGTAAAGAAAGAAAGGCGTAGTAGTATTATATTTATATAAGGTAAAAAAAAGAAAAGAAGGTAATAAACTAGTAAAAACAAGTCTTTATATACCCCTTAGTACTATAAGGGACAGACTAAGTAAAAGGAGATAAAGGAAGTGTTTTTTTATATTTACTTAAAAAATACGATTATAAGTAATATAGTTTAATTCTTATAGCTACTTACTATTAGCGTACTATTAACCTTCTAGTAAGGAGTAACAAAGGATTTTTAAAAGTAGTAAAAAGAAGAGGAATACTAGCGTACTTAGGTAATGTAGTATATATTATGTATTAAGGGTCTTACGACTATCTAGCGACTTACTAGTACTTTACTATAATATGTCTTTACTAAAAGTAAATATAAGAGGTACGCTAAGTAAAGATCTAAAAGTATAATATATAACAGAAATCTTATAGTTTAGCTACGTGCCTCTACTATACTATAAAGTCGCTACTATTCTCTTTTTCTTAACACTACTAGTTATATAGTTATATAGTTATATATTTACTTACTAATTTATTCTTATACATTTATTCTTGTTTTTAAGAAGGCATTAGCCTACCTTAGCCTCCTTACGATCTAATAGCTACCTATAAGCTTCTAAGGACAGAAGCTAAAAAGAGAAGATACTATATTAGGTATACTAATACGTAAAATTATAATAGCTTAGAAATTAAGTATAAGGTAACTACGTACTATAACTAAGGTAATAGTAGGTATTAAGGAGTATAAGAATAGAGGGTAGAGAGAGGAAAGAAGGAGGGTTTAGAGATTAGTCTATAGTTAAAGTAGTGATATACCTTTAAATATACTACGACTGTTTATCGACTCTTGCCTCTTCTACTCTGTAGAAATACACCTAACAAACCTCTAAATAAGACTCGGCTGAATACTTATGTTTTGTAGCCTTAAAATCGCGATCTATAATATAAAGTCCGGACCTCCTAGTATCCTAAAAGTACCCTTAGACTATAACCTTTATATTTCTCTTTATACTATATGTTTAGACTATTAAGCGTTACTATTTCTAAGCCGGCGTTTAAAAGCACTATTCGTCTTGTTTACCCTACCCTTACTCTACAGAACACTTGTCGCTCTAAACTACCTTTCCTTACTCCTTGTTCGTCCTAGCTTTGTGTTTTTTATACTAGGTAAGCTAAGTAGCCGCGATCTTTAGTATAAGAAAGGGACGGCGTTTATACTTCTAATTCTATATCCTATGCTTCTCGAGTAGCCGTTTAACTATTTTCTTTAAGTAAGATAGAGAACACGCTTTAAGAACCTTATAGTAGGTATCCTTTAGGTTTAAACAGACGTAACAAAGTATTTGACGTTCTTTAGTAAGGGTTATTATAAGAGGACGGCCGGTACAAGGTTGTAAGGCCCTTTTGACCCGTAAACTATCGAGTTATAAGGTCGATTTAATAGTCAAAACAAGTATATCGAGCTGTCTCGTAATATTAAGGGCTTTAAAACCTAAGCTTTTTATACTAGAGATCCGTCCTCTTTAATAAGGACTAAGATTAGGCCTACGGCGCGAGTTCCTTAATATCAAGGCTAGGGGAGTACGTAGTAGTAGCATATTTAGGTAGTATATATAGAAGGGTAGAAGGGTAAAACGCGAAAAATCGCGTTTACGTGATTTAGCCGAGAACTTTTGTCTAGTGACTGTAACTGTCTGATCGGAAGGATTAGAATTGCTCGACTCTGCAGATATATCTACGAAGCGAACGACATCTCAATTCTAGTATTTTCTATGGGATAAGTAAGAGAAATTTCAGGTCATGTGGTAGTAAGTCACAGATATTCCTCTGCGGGGCCCTCTGTCGATTGGAAGACCTCGTTAGTATTGCATTTCACTTTGTGCAGCCGCTTCTTTCAACCATTCCTCCAGACGGACTCCCCTTTAATCAACTCTTCAGGCTCTCCTTGAGTGCTGGCGCTTGACCAGAGATTATCTTGCCTTCTCATTGAGGAGATTGGAGTTACATTCCGACTGCCCCAATAATGATTCCTGAGTAGGATTAGATTTCGTTGTTTTATCGGGCAAATATATTTGTCGAACTTTACGGTCTCTTTGACGTCCAGAACCTCTCTCTCTCAGCATGTCGATACTTTTCATCTGTTGGGACCTTTGAATCCGAGGCCCGTTTTGCGCGTCTTCTCCTGCTGTTGATGATGGCTTCTGATAAATTCATATTTTCTAAATGAATTGCTGGCTGCTTGTTGTTAGTGCTTGTGAGTGTTGTTATCTTTTCCTGCAGAGACTGCACGTTGGCCGTCTGTTTTTCTTCCCATCTGTTGCAACCCGCCTGCTCTCCATGGTGCGATTCTAGTTTGGCAAGTGCTTGCCCTGAGATCTGCCGTGGCTCTCTCCTTATCTTAGAGATTTCTGGAGATAGAGGCCGTCGTCTAGTCGCACATGGGGTGGTTGGCATCTGTGGTGAAAAGCACTTGGTTGGTGATCCCTGCATTGAAGATCTTTCAGAGTTGACTCGGTCCAATGAAGAACTCTCGCGATTCGACGGAGAATTTTGTGCCAAAATGCTTCCAATATTGATAGCTGATGGACGACTGCTCTCTGAGGACGTATTTGATTTTCTTCGGTTCAAGTCCGTAACTATAATATTCAAGCATCTTTGCATTTCACTGTCCGTCAACGATATTGAGTCCTCAGTACTGCTTTCATAACCCACCAAGGAGTGGTTTTCAATAGTAATGTGCTCTAGTGGCGACCTTGGCGGTGAATCTTGCTCAACGCTTCGACCTCCAGACATCATGCATCTTCGTTCTTGTCGCCTTTTTGTAGCTCTCAAGATGCTTATTGCTTCATTGAGAGAGATTTTGCGCTTTATGCTCAGTTTCTCCGCTTTCATTCGTTCGATAACTGCCAATTTTTTGTTCTGATATTGATGTTCTGCCCCGTTTTCTGTGCCTATCTCAATTGCCCTCCCTAAAAATCGCATATCAAGGCCCAAATTATGTGGTGGCCTCTCGTAGACGCAGTCGCTAATTTGGGTCAGCGGAAGCGTGTATGAATGAGAACGACTAATGCTATCCTCGATAGAGCTTTTCGAACTACCAATTCTGAATCTTTTTCCAACTTCTGCGTCTCCCTCAGGTCTCTCTGCTATACCACCTCCAAGGGTGGACACCATTGAGCGAGTATCGTCATCCTTCTTCCTATGGTTTTCCATTGTTGAATAGCACTGTTCGAGCCATCCCTCTACGATTCTGATAGATTGGTGAACTTGAGCGGGTGGAGGGTCAATATCACTTCCTGATAGCTCGGGCAGTTCTTTTCCCTCGATAATGCTTCTACTAGGCTCATCCTTTGGGTATCTCTTGTGTTCTTTCCGGCCATGCTTGTGTTCGAATTCACGTTGATTGGTCTCCTCGTCCCGGATGACCTGGCTCGAACTGGTAGCAACTGAAGCTTTTGATTCTTCGGCCCGCTCCGTACTCCGTCGAGGTGGATGGTCTGTCATATTTTTCCGAATATGGTATAACTCACAGTCGACGTCATCGAGGATTGCCTTCAACGATGCTACTGGTATCGCTTTGTAGAGACTGCCAAGGAGTGTGCGGAGCTTTGTTGTCTGGTCGAAGCGCCAGAGCCACAGATTGCCAAGTCGGGGTTCGATGCTCTTGTGCAGTCTTGACAGAAGGTCAAAGATCGGTTTGGCTGCCTTGGAATCGATCCCTCGGATGGCCTCCATCTTGCGACAAAGATGGCACATTTCGAATTGGTCTGAACTGCTTAATATGTAGCAGTCTTACCCCCCGCCTTACAGAGACTAGAAGCTTGATCCATGCAGGTCAACACCAACTGCCTTTCTCGAGGAAGGGGCGAATCAAATATGGTTTAGTTGCCGCCTCTATTCCGTGTCTTAATAAAAAAGTAAAAGTTACTATAGGATTTTAGAGGCGTTGAGTTCATAAAATCTGGGTTTCCATGGTCCGAATTGCGTCAATAGGGGTGAGTTGCTATTGTTACGTATGATTCACTGACATCTCGTACTAGATTCCATGAATAGACCCATGACAATGGTAAGGGACTCAGCGGTTACTTTCGACAGTAAATCTCGCTGTTGGAATAATTTCCATTTGAATTCGGATTGCCATGCTGTTTTCTAGGCGAACCCGCTCCCCCATATTTAGTACTTTCTGCCCCAACTTCATCCTCTTGACATATAAATATCCTGGTCTAGTTACTAGATATGGCTTACCAGAGGTAGATCAGGAATTTACAAGAGTGATGGTAGTGGTGATAATGAGGATTATCTTATTTAAGGATAAAGCGTAAGAAGTCTTACGTCCTAATCTCGATAGTATATCCAAGAGAAAAGGGAAATACTCGCGGTACAGTACGTTGTTAGGTGGTGCTCTACTACTCTCAACACAAGGGAGATGGTGTTATTGATATATGGACCAAACTGCGAAACTTCAAGACCATAAGTAGGTGAATGAATATATAACTATGGAATTACGGTATATGGAACAAGGAGAGAGAGGGAGGAAAACCAAAATGTTATCTGTTAATGGTTGTCGAAGCATTACTCTTTCTTCCCGATCTTCTCAAAGAGAATCGTCAACGGAAAGCTTTGATTGGGGAACAATGCGTTCGCAATTTCTCAAGAACCCTCAGCAAGCAAACTGTGAACGACACAGGTGTAATAATGCTGTATCCATTCCGCTGTTTTGAAACAATTTTTCCATCAATCGCTATGTCCAAATCCATTCCTTATGAAGTTATACTTTTGTGCCGAAGAGAGAAGAGAAGAAACATCGATGGTGGGGTATCGCATTCAAGCACCGCTGCACCTGGGGTATATAAAGAAAAGAAACGAGGGCGAGGCTAAGCAGAACACAAGCAAGCTATGTGTATGTAGAGACAGTTGTTGCGAGCGGGAGGCCCAGCGTGTACGGATAAATGACAGAAAGCTAAGTCCAGAGACAGGAAAGAGAGGACGTGCTTAACGGAGGGTTGAAGCATCGATGGCGTGTATGCGCGCTGCGTGAACAACGTTACAGATTCCGTGTGGGATCGTAGGACCATTATCGTTGGCAGAAGACAGGAAGGGAATGGAAGTCGAGCGGAGGACTTGAATTGGCGATGAACGATGTGGTGTGCCAGACTCGTAGCATGATGACGTATAGGTAGTATTGACCGTCATTGGATTCTGTGAGACCGACGAGAGTTAGCAACGCTGCACGGAGGGAGAAGTAGAGGACCATTACCATAAAGCTCTTTTATTCCGGCGAGGACGCTTGGGAGCTGGAATAGGAACCCACTTATGCTGAATCCAAACTAGGTTCCGGCCGTCCTTGAACTTGACCGCGAGCTCAATGGAGAAGTATCTGAACCATCCAATCTTGACCGGTTTCTTGGAGGCGGCCTTGGCCTTCCTAGCAGCGGCCCTGGCCTCTGCTCTCTTCTTGGAGAAGCTGACGAGCCGAAAGCGAGAAAAGGTTCGCACAGGTAGCCATTCTTCGAGAGTCTCTCTTATCCACGTGCTGGGTTCCTCCTTATGTTTCTTGTCGACCTCGCTCCTGCGAGCACTGCTGCGAGTCTTGCTACGAGTCTTCATCGGGTGGGTGCTTTGTGAGCTTGGGACTAAGTAAGACTTGGATCTGACTGTTTCACACGTCGACAGCGTGGACAGTGACATCTTCTTGGACTGTATCAATGGGGGTCGACTTAGTAGCGGTTCAAGCCGTGTAATGATGAGGGGTTCAAGGGTTGGAAAACGAATAGTTTGTTGATAAAACTGTTGGTTGAGTGTGCTGTCGCAAAAGCAGATGTTGGAGAACGTTGGTGATACTGATGCAAGTTGAAGTAATAATCTTTAATGAGCGAGTCGTCTAGAATGTCGTTCTTCTATGTTTTGTGATTTTAACTGAAGGCCTGAAGGGCAAGCAGACCTAGCTAGGAGCCTAGGAGTCATTCAAGGTGCTAACCTGTATTGGTCGAGCCATAACCAAAGGAGGAAGGGGCACCTTGAAGTCAAGATCAAAGTAGTCTGATTGGGTGTGATTTCTTGCAGTCTTTCTCAAAATAACACTTCAGATGGAAGTACTCAAGATATCCTGGTTTATGGATACCTACCTTAACAGTGAGTTGAAGAGCTGCTGCAAGCTAATTCGAATCTTTGAAGGGACCTTTTCAACGAAGGGAAAATATCTGCTGATAAGTTTCCTAGCATATATGCGCCCGCGAAGTAGTCTTTCCAAATGACGTAAGAGAAGTAGAGACGCTCGAGGGCTCGTATTTCCCTAAGCTTTGATCGAAGACGCCTTATACAGTAAGAGTATGCCCATCATTTTCATAAGAGCGAAGTGACTGTCTGAAAAACCAGCGAAGCAAATGAACAAATTGAAGCTCGCGGGACGATATTTGAACCGAATAAGACAGATTTTTGGGGTTTCCCCAGAGAGTATGCTCAAAGCTCCTCCATTTTCCAGAAACTTGAGCACCACTTTCCCCTACATTATGCAGAGTTCACTAACTCTATATTTTAGATACCATTGTCTTTATATTCGGACACCACTCGGCAGGAAACAAATCTATCTCGACGAAAGGTAGCTTTAAGACCCTGGGATCACAAAGAAACAGAAGGCTATCTCCTATGAATTAGGATTAGACTTTTCAAGTCGACTAGTTTTGGAAAGATCGCAAACACCTCAACTTCAATTGCTCCGCAAGCCGAGTTTATTAGCTGATCGATACTTCGATCGAATAAAATGACAATAATCTCGAAATAAGCCAGTAAACCCATGAAATTCAATCATTGATACAGAGAAAGACGATGATCAACGGGAGCCGTTCACTCTTTTGAACATTATGCAGGGGGACAACAATGTCAAGCCCAATTGAGACGGCAATTGGAGTCTCTCGGACTCGATGAAGGCTGAAGCAATTCAAACCGAATAACACTGGAGACCCAACTGACACTTGGTTTGGAAGATGAAAGGACACCGTTTGAAGTCGTTGAGTAGCATGAGATCTAGTCAGCACGACATCATGCATTACGTGTGGGCCGAGATTGATAGAGACGCTCTCGGCTGCTTGCAAGGGGTCAGAGAGGCCATGTCAAAAAGTTGTTTATTCGATGATTTTGATTCACTTATAGAAGACTTTACTTGTCCAACGGGAATCCTTCCCTTCTATTGAATCCTTCTGTATTTCTACGTGTGAAACAGAGCTTACTGTCAGTATTGGCCGAATCGCTAGTGTTTTCAGATCATTGTCGGGCGTTTCTGTATCAACTCGCTTGGAGAGAGCCCCACCTTTTCAGGGGCGATCGGCTATACATACAACATGGAGCGAACTTATTCTCCGTGGCGAAAAGAGACGAGAGACGACACAAGAGACTGACATGTTCAACTCGATTGCGCGACTGTCGGATTACCGCAGAGAGAGGTTCAACATGTCTGAAGACGGATGCTACACGGCAAGTATCGCTGCGGAACGCTTCCGCTTGGGCGTTCCGCCTTCCTTTCCGCCTGTCGTCGGCATTGGGAGCCGTAATGCGGGGTGTGTGGGAATCCCCATGGAGGCGGCTCAATGATGTCCATGAAGGCAAGTTGCTGTTTTCTTTTCTCTCACGGCTGTCCTTCTCATTCTTCTCTTCTTCTTCTCTTCTTTTTATACCTGTAATATTATCATACATCCTCAGTTCATTCATCCCCCTTTTCTCCCCATTTAAGCCATGCCCGCTACAAAGTTCACCACCCCCGAGAAATACAAGTACCAAAATGGCTTCGGCTCCTATCACGAGTAAGCCAGTCCTGCGCTAGATACACTATACCCTTTTGACAACCCCGCAGATCTGAAGCCATCGAAGGTGCTCTCCCCGTAGGCGCCAACGCGCCTCAAAAGCCTCCCTACGGCCTCTACACTGAAAAGCTCTCTGGGACCTCCTTCACAGCTCCTCGCCACGAGAACCAGCAAACATGGCTGTACCGCGTCCTGCCCTCTGCAGCACACTCTCCCTTCATCCCGCGCGAATTCACCTCAAATAACACGAACCCGGATACGCAGCAGATGCATCAGATCCCCAACCAGTTGCGTTGGGATCCTTTCGATCTGGACGAGTCGGTTGATTGGGTGCATGGCTTGAAGCTGGTTGCAGGAGCTGGAGACCCGACTCTGAAACATGGGATTGGGATCCTGATATTCGCGGCGGGGAAGAGCATGGGCAAGAACGAGGCATTCTACAGCGCCGATGGGGATTTCTTGATTGTCTTGCAGCACGGAGTGCTGGATATACAAACGGAATTGGGACACATTTTGGTTCGTCCGAATGAGATCTGTGTTATCCCGAGAGGAGTGAGATACAGGGTCGAACTACCTGACGGGCCTGTGAGAGGATACATTTTGGAGTTGTATTCGGGGCATTTCCAACTTCCCGAATTGGGACCTATTGGCTCGAATTGTCTGGCCAACGCCAGGGATTTCCAAGCCCCCGTTGCGTACTTTGAGGAAGACACAATGGGGGAATACGAGATAATCTCGAAGTTTAACGGTCACCTGTTCGTGGCGACCCAGACGCACACGCCTTTCGATGTCGTTGCATGGCATGGATTGTACTACCCATACAAGTACGACCTCGGCCGTTTCAATACTATTGGAAGCATCTCATTCGACCATCCAGACCCCAGCATCTTCACCGTTCTCTCCGCTCCCTCAGCTCACCCCGGCACCGCCATCGCCGACTTCGTCATCTTCCCCCCTCGTTGGCTCGTCGGCGAAGACACCTTCCGCCCCCCTTGGTACCACCGCAACACCATGTCCGAATTCATGGGCCTCATCGGCGGCGAGTACGACGCCAAATCCGGCGGCGGGTTCCGACCGGGCGGCGCCAGTCTGCACAACATCATGTCAGCCCACGGACCCGACGCCGAGACGCACCAGAAAGCCTCCGAGGCGCAGCTGCAGCCCATGAAGGTGGGCGAGGGCAGCATGGCCTTCATGTTCGAGAGCTGTCTGATGGTCGGCGTTACAGACTGGGGCTTGAACCTGTGTCGGAAGGTGCAGGAGGATTATAATGAGGAGAGCTGGACAAGGCTGAAGCCGCATTTCCAGATCCCGGAGGGTGTGAGGAGGATGGATAATCGTGTGGATGAGGGGCCCAAGGAAGAGCTTGTCGCTTCAATGCGGCTTCATAGTTGAGAATTCAGGGATTCGCTTTTATCAGTATGAGCAAGGAATTCAATTTTTTTAAGCAGTGATGGCTGAGGTTTTGGAGATGGACAAGGAGTTATTTCTCCTTTTGTTACCCCGCTGATGAAAGTCCAGAAAATTGATTCAATTGCACGATTCTATAAGGACCACTCTCTCTACACATCACATTTTGATATGTGCTCTCTCTATTCCAGCAAACAAAATCCAAGTTGATTAATCTATGCTGCCATACGTCTATGCCTCCTCTACCATCTATACAGTACATATCTATGACGAGGTCCCCATCCTCAGCCTGAAAGTTATAACTTGGGTTTTAAAAGAATAGAGGCATGTTGTTTATAGCTTTCGGTCCTGATCTGTGGAGGCTATGATGAGTTTTAAGGATTTGGAGTGGGCGTCTGCTGGGTGGAGAGAAGGCGGGATGAGGTGAGAATAGATGGATATCTAAGGTACTCTACCTAGATTATATCATCATATTCTGATCTTGTTGCGATGTTTATTTGAGGGGGTGGGGGTGTTATATATATATAGAGAGAGAGAGAGAGAGGAAGATTAGTAGCTACCACGGTGATGGTGTATAGCAACGCGGGGGAGGTATGGCATTGTTCTTGATCCCGATGTGTCCCCTCTTGCAATTCTAAGAATGTGATGTTTAATTGAAGATACCTAGTTCGGTATATGGCCATGGCCCATCAAGATAAGAAATGCCGAAAAAGACTGCACACAGGTGGCGATAGATACCTAGAACGCACCATAAAAACCGAGCTAAAAATACCATCGGTCGTTCAAAAAGAAGTGGTCACCGTCTCGCAATTACTGAAAGGAGGTAAGCGAAGGGCAAGATTCGTTCTCGGTCTCGGCCATCGACCGAGTTAGGTGGGTAAGGTAGGTACTGACTGTGAGGTGGTTGCGTGACTGGTCTGACATATCAGGTAATCAATCAGCGGCTTGCCACGCAGAACGTCTCATCTCACGGCTCGAACGGCTCTCAGGTGGATCGATCGAGCGAGCGTCTTCTAAGCGCTGCGACAAGAAAGTGAGAAAATATACATATACGTTTTCCATTTTCGTTTCAAGAAGATTGCCATTCGAGATATCGATGCACTCACTCGACACGGCTTGTATCTTTGTCGTTACCTTATCTTGGGAGGGCAGGGTGAGCTGATCAGTGATCCACATCGTCATCGCGCTAATTCCCCATATTCTGGAGCTCTCCCCGCATTTTGGGTGGGTCTGGGATAGAGACACACCCCTGTTGTGATAGGCGGTGCATGGCCTGACATGACCGAATCCCAATTTGAATGAAGATCCAGACTGCTCGAAGTATGGAAAGTAACTTAAATAAAGTGAAGTGGAGATAAGAAAGTGAAGTGAAGTGAAGTGAAGATAAGAGATGCTTCAACATGAACTGCCATTGCCCGTAGATACATAGGTCCTCCCCCCCAATTGACGGCTATCCAACCATCCTCCGTGGCGCTATCCCTCTTGTCCCTCGCTCCCTCCCCTCTCGCGCTACCTACTACGTACCTTACCTACCGGGCAGGGCAGTCACGAGACATGTCGTGGTCCTGCCCTCCTCATACATAACCCCGCATCTGCCCCTTCATCATCGTCATCATCATCATCCCTTTGACTACCTCTTGACATCCTCTTCCCCTTCCTTCACCTTTCTCGAAGCGCCCGATACCTGATACCAATACCTGATACCACTCCTTCGTCTTACGATTCCAATCCTGACATCCTCGACGTTACTTCGCATCTCTGACTACGAGTAACCAAGCCCGCAACCATGTCTGCTCCTCTCACCAAGGTCGACTCCGCCGTTCAAGGCCTCTCATCAAGCCCGCCCAAGGATGGCACAAAGCATCGAAGAACAAGTTCCAGTGCTGAAGGTGTCATGAACATCAATGACTTGGGTACGTCGTCCATCATCCTCTCTTGACTGCCAACGCCACCCGAAGCTACCGGGTCGGTTCAAGTCCCATCAAGACAGATGCTGAGAAGGGGTTTGAATACAGAAAAGGCTGGAATAGAACTTCAGATTGCAATTGAGACACAGAAGCTGAACTGGTATGCTGCCCTTACCGTCTAAGACTTATACCTCACCTCTCTCACCCTTCATCCAATTGCACACATCGGGCTACGTGGGATGGATCTTGACTGACCAATCATCCACTCGTAGGCGAATCAACAAGTCTCCAAACACACTGGATGATCCAGAAAAAGGCTTCCTCAAGAAGATGCTCACCACACCACCTGTCAAGAAGATTGACCTCCACTTCCCCCTCGGACTCGAGGTGACGGCACGAAATATGAAGGGTGTGACGATCAAGGATGCATTAGATGCAATCTATAAGCAGTATCGGAAGAAGGTAAGCCATCTCCAGCATTTCTCGTCTCCTATTTAGGACGCCGCCTTTTCATAGAACGGCTCTACCTCCTCGTCAACCCCATATATTTGCAGTCGAGGGATCTTAGTCAATGGATCGTGCTGACATCTGCATCCAGGCCGATGACGAACTGGAGAACCCAGTCCTAGCAGGTTTCGAATGGGATAAGGATGAGTCATGGACTCGACTCATCGTCCACTGCAAGAAGCAAGGAGCCCCACAGCCCAAGAAGAAGAACAAGAAGCCTCAAGAAGGCGAAGAACAGCATTGAGTTCTTTCCGTACAATGCTCCATAATGTCTCCCTCTCCTGATAGACTAGAGCGCTCATGGATGATTTGCTAGCTCAGATGCGTTGCGAGATTGATATTCGGGGGGCCGGTTGGCCTGTTATAAGATTCATAATGGACGGAGTATTCTAGTGATGGCTGTCTTTATGGCTGGTGCTTTCGACTGGCTAGCTAGGTAGCTGCTCTCTTGCTAGGAATTGACAATCTCCTCTTGATTCTGTGGCCTTGGTGGTAGGACTGTTGTCCATATTCTTGCCATACCTCACTGTGTATGGCCTCTGCTGTCGGTGCCATGACTTCCTTCGACCGCAACCGCAGAGGAAGCATTGGATAGCGAAACGTCGTCTTCGTAATTGTAGTTGTAAATTTGTGAGTACTTTTGGTGCGCGAAAATCCAGGATCCACTTCTCCCGCTCCCAATGCCACTAACCCCACAACCGACCGACAACGTCCACTCTTGATCTCTGTGCTTCCATGTCTTTGGCGATAAGCATGCCGAAGATGTAAGTGTCTGTATCTGTGTCTAAGGTATTTTACAGTCCTGCTGCTTCTTTCTCTTCACTCTTTTCTCTTTTCTTCTGATGGTCTCAAGACATGGACGCACGCGCGGCAATCCCCGTGACGCTTCCACGAACCAACCCCACTGTTAGTTACTGGCAAGATCCTCCTGATTTCGAAGTCGCAGATTACAAGACTGGAGAGACGGTGCCCGAGACCGCCGATACAGTGATTATAGGGAGTGGAATCACAGGGACCACTGTTGCGTGGGAGTTTCTACATGGCGCGTCCGCACCAGGGAAGTTGGTGATGCTCGAAGCGCGCCAGGCTTGTTCGGGAGCTACTGGACGGAATGGTATTATGGCTATCTCTCTCCATCTATCTAATCCTCTCTGCCTATGTAAGTAGGTAGCACACCAAGAAGCTCACACGGAATCTCCTAGGCGGCCACACGAAAGCAGCTTCCTACCGCTCGTTCCTCGATAATGCCTCCGCGCACGGATTGGCGCAGGCCGTCAAGATCGCAAAGCTGGAATACAATACGATCAAGTCGCTACATGCGTTCGCGCGCGAGAATCATATAGATTGTGAGCTGTTCAGCGGCGATACGGTGGATATTATCTATGACCATGCGCAGTGGGAACAATGCCTAGCCTCGGTATCCGCGATGCGGGACGCGATGCCGGAGGAACTGGACGGGGCTGCGAAATACAAGTTCTGGAGCGCGGAAGAAGCGCGGGAGAGATTCTATGTGAAGGGCGAGGAGTGCGTGGGTGCTGTGAGCTATGAGGCGGGCAGCTTGAGCGCGTATCGGTTCGTGGTCGGGATGTTGAAGTTGTGTTTGGGGATGGGGTTGGAGTTGTATACGAATACGCCGGTGGTGAAGATTGAGAGGTTGGAGGGCGGGTGGAGTGTAGAGACTAATAGGGGGGTCATACGGGCGGCGAGGGTGGTGTTGGCTACGAATGGCTATACGGGGTTTCTATGCAAGAGCTTCCAGAAGGTCATTGTCCCGTTAAGAGGACAGATTACAGCGCATAGACCAGGGAAGAACATGCCGGAGGGAGGCTTGCAGGTGACTTATTCTTTCATCTATGGTAACGGATATGAGTATATGGTCCCAAGGCCTAAAGGAAGCATGTTTGAAGGCGATATTGTGATAGGTGGCGGGCTCGTGAAGGCGAGGGATGAAGGTATTGAGGAGTATGGCACGACAGATGATACGAGTATCAACGCTGAGATCAGCGAGTACTTGACGGAGACGACTCCTAGATATTTTGGGGATGCTTGGGGGCAAGACGATGAGGCGGGGAGAATCAGGAAGCAATGGACGGGCATTATGGGATACTCCAGTGACGGTTTCCCGTTCATTGGCGAAGTTCCTGACGAGAAGGGCTTATGGATTGCAGCCAGTTTTCAGGGACACGGCATGGTGCTGTGCTTCTTGTGTGCGAAGGCACTCGTGAGCATGATGTCTGGTGACGAGAGCGAAATAGCATCTTGGTTTCCTGAAGTCTTCAGGGTTACTAAGGAGAGGATGGCAAAGAGGTTCATAGGAAGACTGCATACGAAGCCGACGGATAGAGAGACGAAGGCAGGTCTGTGAATTGTTCTCTGATAATGGCTAATTGAGTTTTGATATAGGAGAAGTTTGAGGACTGTGGACGACACCAATAATTTTGCAGCTTCTGCCAGTAGTATCCCGGGTAAGGCACGTAATATGATATTGTTCCTATTGCGTGGAGCTACATCTGTGAATGGCAAAGGCTTAGTTCAAGCGCTCCGAGCATTTAATAATTCAGTTCTCATCCCTTTCCCAGCAAAGACATTGTTTAATTCTCTCTGTTATACCAAATTCCCCGCAATCTTCAAGTTCAGTCCTCGCAGACGCTAGTTGGGCCACCCTGGGTCCCGGGGTATCTCATTCCAAGGAGTACTTCCCCGCGGACCCCGCACTGCAATCATGCACCGACAAAATCCGGAAACATATTCTTCAGCAAATCAACAGACAGAATGACTTTCAGGGGCCGTCTATATTTCCCAGTTAGATTGGTTTAACGGTGACATCGGTCTCTACTGTAACTATCACGACGGAATATAGCCGTGAAAGGCAATAATAAATCGCAGGCTTCGCCGCAGAGCGATAGGAAGAGAAAGATCGCTCTACTACCAGAACTTTACATTTATGATAATACCGCAGTCATCCTTGGTTTCTTTCTCTTGTTTTTCTTTTCATTGCTCTGCTTTATCTCTTTATCTTCTGTGCTCCTACGATTCTGTTTCACTGTCTTCAGAACCCAGCCTTCAAGATGAGCGGCCCAATAGCACCCACCGAGATCCCCAGCGACAAACCAAGCTCAATCATCCCTCACAAAGAAATTGAGAAGTCTCCATACCTTCACGAAAGTAGCGAAAGCGTCGATAGGGTCGCGGAGAAGAAACTTCTCTGGAAAGTAGATCTCCATGTCGTCCCGGCACTAGGCATTCTCTATATGCTAGCATTCCTAGATCGCATCAATATAGGAAATGCAAAGATCCAGAATATGACCACCGAGCTCCATATGGTGGGCAATGATTATAGCATCGCTCTATTTATCTTCTTCATTCCGTGAGTTTGTTCTGCTGCTGTGAAAGGGGGTAGAGTTGACGAGCGTAGGTACATCTTACTTGAAGTCCCGTCGAACATCATTATTCGAAAGATCGCACCCTCGATTTGGCTTTCTGCCATTATCTTCTTTTGGGGTGTGTGTACTGTCTGCGAAGGGCTTGTGAAGAACTTTGGGTCCCTCGTCGCATTACGCTTTTTACTTGGGATCTTTGAGGCGGGCTTGGTGCCTGGTGCTGTATATCTCATCAGCATGTACTATAAGAGGTACGAGCTACAATGGAGACTGAGCGTGTTCTTCTGCGCGAGTATTCTCGCTGGCGCCTTTGGTGGGTTGCTGGCGTATGGGTTGGCGCATATGGACGGCATTGGTGGATACAGTGGTACGTTGAATCACTTATTCTGTTTCATTAATAGGGGAAGCTAATATTGGGTGCAGGCTGGCGCTGGATCTTTATAATCGAAGGCCTCTTAACGATCGTCGTCGCCATCTCTTTCAAATTCCTGCTGGTCGACTGGCCCGAAACCGCCAGCTTCCTCACCCCCGCTGACCGCGCTCTCCTCCTCCATCGCCTCTCCATGGACACCGGCGAAGCACGCATGGATGTCCTGGATCGCCGCGCCGCGAAACGCATATTCAGCGATTGGAAAATCTATTGCGGAACACTGATGTATATGGGGGTCGTGACGACCGGCTACGCAACCTCGTTTTTCATCCCGACCATCATTCAAGAAATGGGCTTCACGGCCGCAGAAAGCCAAGTGCGAAGTATCCCCATCTTTATCGTTGCTGCGGTCGTGGCATTAGGCGTGGCTTGGTGGACGGATCGATTACAGCACCGCTACGCGTTTACGATGGCGGGTGTGTTGGTCGGTATGGTAGGTTATGTGATTTTGCTATGCCAGGATGGAGTCTCGACGGGGGTCAAGTATATGGCTTGTTTCTTCATCACGACAGGGGGATATATGACACAGCCTGTCACCTGGACCTGGCTAAGTAATGTGAGCTTCTTACTCGCCTCCCCCCTTATCCCCAAGTTCTCGCTAAAGAGGAGGCACTTCTAGAACATGGGCGGCCATTATAAGCGCTCTATCGCAATGGCCCTGCAAATCGGTCTGGGAAATCTAGGAGGTATCGTAGCATCCAATGTCTACATTGCGAATCAAAGTCCGCGGTACAAGGTAGGATATGGTACGAGTCTGGCGATGCTCTTGATGTGTGGGCTGGCGTGCACGGTTTTCTATCTAGGTCTGAAGGCGGAGAATCGCAGGCGGGATGGGGGCGAGAGGGATTATCGCTTTACGGAAGAGCAGCTGGATAATATGGGAGACGACCATCCGGATTTCCGCTATACCTTGTGAGGGTTTCCCATGAAGGAAAGCGGTACCGTGGGAACGACGCTCGCAAACTAGCTAGTTCATCTGTATCTTAAGGGAGGAGGAACCTTGATGGTTGGACTCTATCTCTATCTCTATATCAAGATTCAAATATACTAGTCACCGACGACTGTTCTAGCTTTCCTTTCCTCTGAATAGTTACGAACACCGGAAACGTCATCACCTGTGAATTGCCCACCCTCCAGCATACCAACAATATCCAGAACCATCAAAAGCTGTCGATTGTGAAAAGACAACTTCGAGAACTACCATGCAGTTTGAGCATCAATTTACCTTCTCCCGCACTTGCAGAAAGAACACATGAAATAGTAAAATTTGGCCCTAATGATGGCTTCCTCTAGCAGCTTTGCTGTCAGGCTCGAGCGATATCACCGCTTACAGCGGTTTAACCCTCCTTCAACCATGGGACGGCCTAGCAGGTCAGCAACCACGACAAGCACAGCAACCAAGCCACAAAAAGGACCGATCGAGACAACTACAGAATTGGAGTATGGATTCAGGACTAAGGACAACACCAAATGCCATTTTCTGGAAATGCTCCCAATGGAGATCCGCTTCCGGGTTTTCGACCTACTAGTCGCCCCTCTAGAAACCGCCGAGGTCTCGATCCAAATCGAGCACACGGAAAAGAAGATGGGAGACGATCTCGTCATTGTCCTTTCAAAGACATGCAAGCAGATGCAGGGCGAATATCAAGCGTGGCTAAAGAGCCATCCAACGTTACGTCTGAGCCCTCGATATGGACTTTTCGTACCGGAGCGGACGACGTTCTTCATGAGCTTCCGACCCAGGACCTATCGGAATCTATCGTACAACAGAGCCAAGGCGGCGCTGCCCGTGTTCGAGAGGTTCTGTCAGGAGCCCGCGCACGCAGACGTCCGGAAAGTCACGGTCGATTATGGGTGGCTGGGTGATAGGAGCGCCTTCATACGTATGGCGCGGTGTATGCGGGCCTTCAACCACCTGGAGATATTTGAAGTCATCACGCCGATCAGCGATGGCAAGCGGTGCGGTTGGTATGATTGGGAGACCTATGAAGAGACCTTCACCTCGGAGAGTTGGGATGATTTGAAGGGAGCTGGCTTTAAGGATGGCGGGGGTCGAGAATCCCTCTGCTTTGTGGTCACCGACTCGGTGGTCTTTCACGAAACCTGGGTGAATGTTGTGGAGTTGGGTGCTGAGGCGTCTGTGTTTTGAACGACACCAGAGGTTGCAGAGGAGATGGGTGTATATTATTACCAGGAGTCCTTCAAAGAAAGACCATTCAGTCCAGTACCGAGTGTATAGATGGCGGTGTGTATATTGAGAACAGGAGCTGAGCTGCTCTGTTTCAAGAAGATACATTAAAGCTGACAGACAAGTCGGGAATAACAAGGGTTTATCCTTCTAACCTGGCAAGAGTGGGGGACCAACATTTGATAATAATTCATTCGTTGCTAGGTATATGCTTTGTCCTTCACCGGGGAGGAGTGAATGGTGATTACAGACAGGATTGGGCCAAGGGGCAGTGTTTGAAGAGTTTAGTGCGTCCCTATAGAAAAGCAGCGACGGAACTGCCGAGTAGGTAGTAGAACTCTAGAATGGCGGACAGTAATAGCGGCCCAAGACTCCCATCGATTCTCCTTGTTAAAGACGGGCGCGAAGAGAAGTTGACGTCTTGGACGCCGCAGCAAGATCTGCGCTCCACACCTTTTCCCCGGTCTCAGGTCTCGACCCTTTTACCTGATTTGCAGGGAATCAGGGACCCTCTTGTTCTCCCCGCATCGCGAAGTTCAGTACTAGTCTCTTAGTTCGACTTCCTTCTCCTCGATCCCTCTCTTCTTTTTCCGCCTCTCTTATCTGATCCCTCATATCTCTCGGTGGCAGCGAGTGATTATGAACATCCTCGAGAGCCAGGTCACCGATCTCAACTATCTCGCCGACTCGCCGCTCTCTCTCTCCGCCGGCGGTATGAATGGCCACCGCCAGTCGTCCAGTGCGGAAAGCCCCGGTACTGCGAATGTGAATGGAAGCGGGAATAAGAGAAGGGCAGACGAATCGAATAGCAACAACAGCGCTCCCCATACCAGAGCGAAGAGGAATCGATATATCTCAATTGCTTGGTAGGTTATATAACAAGCCCCCACCCCCGCGTCCTTGCACTTGAACGCCCTGCGCATCAAATCCGCGGCCTGAGACGCGTTGGGCGCCCCCCGTCGCAAACCGCTCTCTCTCTCTCTCTCTCTCTCTC